AAATGAACGAACGGAGTAGAAGAAAGCAGGACCCAGTATCAAGCAAACCTTTGACAGCTTCCAACACGGATCAAGTCACCACAATAACCACGTCAACTGACAATTCTCTTGTGAAAGATGACGGCCTAGCCATCGATAAAATGAACGAAAATGCAAAATTATTTTGTGCCGACGAACATGACCTAGTGCAAGGGAAATCGGTCTTCGAGGTGCCACCCTCGGAAGAACCCGATGTCAAGATGGAGGTGCCTGATGCCAAAATGGAGGTGCCCAAAGGGGATGAGGTGGATCAGTTGGTGATTGGGGAAATGGGTCACAATGGGGCTGAAGAGGCTTCGGTGAGCAGTGCTGTGAAGATGCAGGTTGATGTGGAGGAAGACCAAGCTTGTGGAGTTAGTAAGGTGAGTCGATGTAAATTTTTTTCTAGAGGAAAATAGATGGGTGCAAAGTCGTGAATATTCAGCTTGATTCTGTTCTTATTTTAATTTTATAGATGAATTTTGAGGGATTACAAGAAGATTCACAGGGCATTTACTTCTAGACATGAAGTGATCAGAAAATGAAAAACTTTTATCGATTTTCATTCTGATGGTGTGCTATTATTGCCGATCTCTCAAGTTCGAAATATTGAAATACGATTTTAAAAAATTTGGAAATTGTATTTTCGCTCAACCTACTAGAAGTTTAGTATGGTCAACAAAAATTAGAAATATATATTAGTCAATCATTAATAGTCCAAGAGTTAGCTGCAAATTTCGATCGTCATCTGATAACGAAATGATATACAGGGTGTTCCTTAAAGACATGCTAATATTCAAGGGGGTGATTCTTCAATTCATTTCAAGGAAAAAACTTCTCACTAACGTCTGAAAATCTGAAAATTATCGACGTGAAATTTGAAGTTTTTAACAGGAATCACATCTGCGTGCAGGCATATCTTAATCATACTTTTGAAGTAATCAAATACCTGTCAGTCTAATTCTGTGATTGGATTTTTTAAAATTGCAAACTTAGTTGATGTTTAGTGATTTACGTAACCGCGAAGTCGAATGGAAGATATAAGGACTTTCAGTTCTTTCTTGGAGACGGTGTTATTGGCTTATTTTTCGAAATTAGCACAACAAAAACCATCAAAGGTGATTGAACTATCTCAATTTTGATATGAAAAATTCAAGAAGGACTTGATACGGGAAATTACGTTGTAGCTATTTTCATTGACCTTAAAAAGGCATTTGATACAATTGATCATAAGAATCTCTTAGAATACTTGGACTCGATGGGACTCAGAGGCATTGTTAAAAATCTTTTAGAATCTTATCTTATGTCAGAGTCTAATAAATTTCCAATAAGTGAAGGTGTTCCACAGGGATCTGTTTTAGGACCCATCTTGTATTTATTATATATTCAAAATGTTTCTAAAATTGGATTGTCAGGAAATCATACTATATATGCAGATGATACTGTACTTTTATACGAAAACAAAAACCCCACCATTCTAGAAAATATTATTAACGAAGATTTGAAAAAAATTGAAAAATGGCTTTATTAAAAAATTTTATCAATTAATACCAACAATAAAACTGAATATATAATACCTATTCCATCAAAAAAATAAACAGAATATTATTTTCTATCTCCAAATTGAGAAAAACGTATTGAAAAGAACTACACAAATGAAGTATCTTGGTATGTGGATTGATGAAAAATTGAAATGAGACAAGCATATAGAGGTTCTGATGCAAAAAATATCTCCGATCATTGGAACTTTGCGAAGATGTCCTAAACTTGACAAAAAAGTCATAAACATAGTACTTCATTCTCATATACTCAGTCGTATCACCTATATGATAAACGTTTGGAGATCTTGTTCAAAAAATTATTTCAGTAAAATATCTGCACTTCATAAGAAAGCACTGTATTGTATCGCCTCTTATTTGATATCCTAACAAATGATCTGTATGCCATAACAGAAAAATTTTCTTTGGATGAATTGTATAAAATAGATTCTCTCAAAGTTTCATATAATATAATAAACAATAATCTGAAATCCAATTTCATTTTGATAAGAAACTCAGAAATTCATGGTCATCACACGGGACAATCAAACTTATTTCATCTTGATTCTGCTACTTCTATAATTGGCCAAACAAAATTTACTCACGCTGCTCTAGCTGAATTTAATTAATTACCACATAATATAAAAAATTGCAGACATATTTCAAAATTCAAAACTGAATTAAAAAAAGACATGATTTCATTACGAAATGGATAAAATTTATACTTTGCCATCTACTGATTAGTCCCTGTGGCTATTTTTATGACTTGATCGATTTAGCATTTTTTATTTTTTCAGATTTTTTTGTTGTTGTCACCTTATATTATTTTATTATTGTTGTTTGTAATCAACTTCCTCATACCAGAATTTTATTTCTGACTGGGAGCTAGTTTTTCAATAAACAATAAACAATAAATTTGAAGCAAATGTCGTCTTGGCTACCGACCAATTAGGTGTCTTAAAATGATATAACAAATGCTATTATTATTATTTTCAACTTAATTATTATTAACTCACATACTGAATAATAATTGAATGTACAAATGTTACAACATTTTTAGGTCATTGCAAGTATTTCATATGAAATTCAAAAATTCATTCTTGAGCAGTATTTAATTCTGTCTTATTTACTCAAATACAAAACATCCTAAACGTACTTGCTCAGAAACAATGTTTCTTGAGGAAATAAAGATAAATAATCATCAAGAAAATATAATTAATGAACCTCAAAATGTATCATTCCATTTGAGAGAACCATGTATCTGTTGATTTTGAAAAAAAAATATGTTTGCAAAAGTTCATAGTGTTTTTTAACTATTGAATTCACTCTATTCATTATATAAAATTGGCGGAATTATAGCTTGTGCCATCTTCAATAAGCCTGTATCAATGATGGTTGCTCTATTTTTCCACACAGGCCGAACTGTCGCTCTCGTCCATAGAGATAGCGGAAAAATTCGAAAAGTTAGACTTGACCCGCCCATCCACCAACATCGCCGTCGACGAAATCACCGAGGCTAACGCCTCCCACCTCAACCTCTTCAACATGGACGCCTCCAGCTGCGACGAATCCTACCTCAACCTCTTCAAATCCCCCGAAGAGAAAATGTTCGACGCTTTCGCCAAGAAAAAAGCCAAAAAAGGCTATCTTAATGTTGCTTATCTGGGGGAACCTAGTGACGATGAAAACGAAGTACATAATTCGGAGGGCAACCCACCGAAAATCATCGATTTCGTGCCTCTGGATGAGGCTACGCAGCCTGTTTATGCCAAAGATTTGTCCAGCTATGATACTTTGGAGAGGGAGAACACTTTTCAGGTGCTAAGTAAGGCAGCTTCTGCGGCTAAAATTGCTCCAGTTTTGTCTAAGGAATCGAAAAGATCGAGTTTTTCGGACGCCAAGAAGGTTTTTGAGGCGCTGCAAGCGAAAATTGAGCCTGGCACGTCCAAAACTAAGTTGAACGAGACTTTGAGTGTTTCGGAAGTGGGGGGTAGTAGTAAGGGTGGATTCGTGAGGAATTCTATTGATAAATTTGGAAAGTAGTGGTGTTTTTTTATCTTGTAGTGTAACTTTTCTGGTGATCTTTTTTTGTACATTCCTATATTATTTATACATATTAAACGATTATGTCTATATTTTTTTCAAGATTTTTGGTTCGAACTGGGTTAATTTGATGTTTCAAGTATTTTTCTTGAAATGATCAGAAAAAAATCGTAAATTCTCGGTAAAGGATCTCATGGATTCTGACCAAATTCACTGAGAAATAATTTTTCAGTTTCCCTTTAGTACTCTTGACTCTGAATTATTTGAGTTGTTCAGTAGAATAATTTAATAAATAGATATTTACGTAATCAGTTGAAAAATGCGTCATTTTGCTTTTGCTTACGTGTTACGTACAATATTTTTTTGTTATTTTGGTAAAAAATGTTGCTTCAATCTACAGGGTACTAGCTGACTTATTGAAATGGGACACCCTATATTTCATTGCATTGTCAGATTCTCCCTGAAGAGCTGATTTCATCAATATATCACACTTGGGGTCTAGCGGGAGTGATTACAGAGATATAGGGTGTTCAAAATCGAGATTTTCCAACTAGGATTCCAAAAGGATTAGGAGATTCAGAATTCTGATCACCCTGTGTCTGTTACAATTATTAAATGTCAGTAGATAGTAAATCAAAAGTTGAGATGGGACATGAAAGCCGCTTTGACGAATATAATAGTTTTAACACAAAAATATCCTAAAGTTGAAAAATCTCGATTTCTGAACACTATGAAGTCAGCACTTCAGGAAGAATCTAAAAATGCGATGGAATACAGGGTGTTCCAGTTTGAAAAAATCAACTAGTACCCTGTAGATCGTTTATTCCGAGCACCTTGTATTTTAAGATGTAGCGGAAAAAGAAATTATCAAAAATCATTTCAAATGATTCCTCAAATTTTGGGATCGGTTCAAAAATAATTGAGCTAGAGGGAGGGGGGGGGGGGGATGAATCACGACGAAATTCATGAAATGGACTCGTTTGATATCTTCATTAATAAAATATGTATGATTCAAGTTCAGATATCCCAAATGATATCGAGGAAGCAACACGAAATGTACTATTTTCTTCGTCCATCCATAGTTTTATCACTTAACTGGTATTGATATGAACATTTCAGCACCAGTTATGTAATATTTTACTTTACACAACTCGTTATGTAAAGTAAAACTTTCAAAACTTCCGTTAGTTTTGAAAAGTGTCAAATTACATGCCCTAATTTGAAAAACATAGTTGTGTGGATCATTTCAAGTTTTTTCAGCATTACATGACATTTTCAGTCTCTGCCATGACTGTGAGTACGTTGAAAACTTATTATCTATGCTAACTCATGAATCAAAGCTTCCTTTTGGCCTTTCATTTTTATGTTGTGACATGGAATATGGTGAATTTCGAATTTTAGTCCCTACTGATCCGGTTCCTTTGAGACCGACGAGTTTCCCTGGCGACGATGTGGCCTTGAGGAGGAAAAATATGGCCTTGAGTCGTCAAAGCAGCAGGCAATCTGTGAAGTCGCTGATTGAAAGCATAGAAAGCCAGGCAAAGCCGGTCATAACGAAAACTGGTGAGTAGAATCGGTACCCAATGTATTTGTACTTGATTTCGAATAATTTATTTTCACTTGAATTCGAATTATAGTAATTTTAAAGCGTTTTCCACTGGTCGATTTATATTCCAACGTAATTCCGAATCTACACCAATGTGTATTCGGCAGCTAACGAATAATAAAAATGACTGATTTAACTCAAAAATAGATTATTTCCTTTTGAAAACCATCTAGATACACGTAAAATTTCATGAGGATTCTCAATTTATACACATTTGCCTTCGAATCCAATGAATAACCAAGTTTCAGATTTCACTCGTCAAAATTCAAAAATTGCTTGTTTGGTTGATGAGTGGCTTATAGAATTAGACTGAATTAAATAATGGCTCATAAACGATAAACTGTATTGCAGATGAAAATATCACAATACATTACTGTCACTCTAAAATTCTTGATCTCAAAGCAAAAATAAAATACAGGGTGATAATATCTCTAACATTGCTCAGTTGCTCGTGAAAACCATCCAGATCGACGTGAAATTTCATGAGAATTCTGAATCGGCGTCCAACGGATCACGAAGTTTCAGATTTTACTCGTCAGAATTCAAAAAATGCTCGTTTCCTGTTGAAAACCATTTAGATCGACGTAAAATTTCTTGAGGATGCTGAATCTATACACATTTGCCTTCGGCATCCAACGGATATGAACATTTCAGATTTTTCTCGTAAAAATTCAAAAATTACCCATTTTCTGTTGATAATCATCTAGATCGTCGTAAAATTTCATGAGGATTCTGAATCTATACACATTGCCTTCGGCATTCATTTTACGTCGATCTAGATCATTTTCAACAACAAAATATGTATTTTTTTAATTTTGACGAGAAAAATCTGTAACTTCGTTATCCGTTGGATGCCGAAGGTAAATGTTCAGATTTCTCATGAAATTTTCGCCGATCTAGATGGTTTTCATCAGGAAATTCAACAATTTTTGAATTTTGACGAGTTAGATTCAGAATCCTCTCGTCAGAATTCAAAAATTGCTTATTTCACGTTGAAAACCATCTAGATCGATGTAAAATTCTATGAGGATGCTGAATCTATATGCATTTGCCTTTGTCATCCAACGGATGAAAAGTTTCAGATTATTCCCGCCAAATTTCAAGAAACTATTTAGTTTTTCGTAAAATTTGATGATTCCGAATCTCCTAAACTAGATCTCATGACCAAGAGATCTAGGATGAACAGAGTTGCCCCAATTGTAAGCAGGAGCGAGACAGTACCGTTTCGGCCCACCAGACCTCATCAGCCGGTCTCTGTCTGCTGGCAATGAATCTACCTGTACACATTCGTGTTCGATATCCGTGTCTTTCGGACACCACTGTAACTTCGCCTTTTCTCCTTCTAGTTTCTGTGTCTCGAAGCAGCTCCAGCTCCTCCATAAACTCCTTCGCCTCGGAATTGAGGGGCCCGTCGAGCCCCTCTATTTTGCCCACCCCCTCTCCCGGATCGCCCTTGAAATCGCTCAACGATTGGTCGGAGTCGAACAACGTCAAAACGCCCCTGAAAGAGCAACAGCCCAACAAGTTGAACAGGGATTGGTCCAAGAGCATCATGAGTGGTAAGTCAGTTTTTTTTTCGGCTCCTATACAATGTAATTTGGAAAATCGATATTCGCTACAATTTATGATAGTTGAAACATGAAGGGGTCAACTACTGGACCTTGAGGAACTCCATATTTAATTCACGAAAAATCATAGATTCGATCATTTCTAGATTCTCACCTTGGTTTTAGTGGGTTCTTAATACATCTAGCCGATAATTTGAACAATCCAAACCTGTTTTCAAATATTTTTCTAATAAGTATCTACTATTGAAGAAGAAATAAAAGAGAAAAAGAAGAAATAACTATTGAAATTGTTATATTGAAGACAATTGAAAAACGTGTGTATAAGATTAGGAATTTTGCTGAAACCATAATGTTTTTTTTAGATTCCATAACAAAGACTGACATTGTTAAGCCTAAGAACGATGATGGATACAGGGAGTCCATTTTGCAAAAAGGGATCGATTTTTCGAGAAGGAATAGCTATTCTGATCTCAGTAAGTACACTCAAACTCAAAACATACTTGGGGATCCTGAAAGTAATGCCCTGTATTCTTATTTGCTTCTCTATGTTGAATTGTGTTTTCAATAAGTACAGGGTGATTGGATATGGAATTCATGACCTCACAGCAAGTCAAACGGCAAAGTTGTAGGCAATGAAAAGATCTCTAACTTTTATATCGACACTTTTTACATAACCTCCTAATTTATGTGAAATTCCAATAACCAAGTTTTTGCTTTTTTACAAAAAAAAAATTCTGTCCCAAATACACTGTGGTTTTTTTGATTTCGAATATTCTTCTTGTCACCTTATTTTGGTTTGATATCGAAGAAGGAATCTAATTTTCAATCGAAACTTCTCGTCAAAATATCGTGCTTTTTCAAAAAAGTAGGTGGGCTTTTTGTTGTAATCACAAGAGTTATAGATCTTTTTATTACCTACAACTTTGCTATTCAACTGTTCTCCATAGGTCTTGTAGTTTTGCCAGAAATCGAGATCAACCGTTTTTCACCCTTGAAAGCTCAATCCCTTTCACTTACCCGACCTCAGATCGACCGTAATTTATCATCTCTTTCATTTTTGTTATATTTTCTTTCTTTTTCAACGGGTTTCATTCTACTATAAGTTTTTTCGGCTTCAAAAATTATCGACCCTGGTCTAAATTGTAGGCGAACGCAAAGACCCTCTGAACGGCCTAGTGAAAAATGGCGGGTCGAAGCGCAACGCTCTGCTGAAATGGTGCCAGAACAAGACGGTCGGCTACCGGAACATCGACATCACCAATTTCAGCAGCTCGTGGAACGACGGTCTCGCCCTGTGCGCCCTGTTGCACACTTATCTGCCCGACAGGGTGCCCTACGACAGTTTGACGCAACACGAGAAAAGAAGGAACTTTGGCTTGGCCTTTTCGGCGGCGGAGAGTGTCGGCATACCTACTACCTTGGTGAGTTTTATTTCAGTAACGAGCATCGAACATATTGGTCCTTCGAGCCGGATCGTGTTTCACGGTGGATGGAACATTAGACGTATCTGGAGAACGGAACGACAGATTTTTTCGAAAATTTGTGGGCGTTGATAAGCAAGCATGCTCTATCCGTCTGAACAATTTTCGACAATGCGGTGTTGCCACTTCTATTAGAAAGTATCAGCAACTTTGATATTTGAAATGGAACACCCTTTATTTCACTGCAATGTATCACAATTGGGGTCTAGCGAGAATGATTACAGAGATACAGGGTGTACAAAATCGAGAGTTTTCAGCTCAAGGATTTTTCGTGTCGAAACTATTCATTGTTGGTCAAAACGACAACTTTTGATCTATTATCTACTGACATTTGATTGATAGATTGTCTGATTTTGCTCCTATCATTTCCACTATCCAAGTTCCTTCCTAAATAACCGACAGAATAACGAAAAATGGAGAAAACCAAGATGACCTTGTACAAAACCGATTATTTTTTTGCAGAACATAAACGACATGGTTCTACTGGAGCGTCCTGATTGGCAGCAAGTTATGAGTTACGTCACAGCTATTTATAAGCATTTCGAAACTTGAGACGCATATAGGGTGTTGCTGGTTTCTGTGATAACTGCATTTTCAGTTTCAGAAGTACTGAGGTGAAATATTTCAGATAATATCTGATAATAATAGTTTTGTCTATGATCAAAGCTCGAGTGGGACCTAGACACGTAAAGTGACTTTATATGAGGGTGTTTTTTTATTTCGTTAACGTGTTTTCTGCCAAAGAAAATCATACGTTTTTAGTTTGTTGTAACGTTTGTAGAAATTTTGATAAATATTTTACAGGGAGTTTGTACAATGTGAGTCACCAAACTGTTTACACACGGTTTTTGTTCTCGAAATTCAAAGTTGGTTACGAAAAAAGCGTTTTTCAATACACAGGAAGGTCAATTCTCAGTTGCTAGAATCGGTGGGCATTTTTCGAAAATCTTGTTTTCTTTATTTTAGTTGAGGGAAAGCATAAACTAATTTCCAAAAACACGGTATACCTGATATACAGAGTCAATATATACGAAAAACAAAAAAAAAATTGAAATACAATCACCTTTCATATAATTGCATTTTCGAACTATAGATGTATAGTAAAGTATCTGGCATATTTTGAAAGTGAAATATCTTTGTTCAAATGCATTCTGTATATCAACTATTGTGTTTTTGAATTGTTAATGCTCTCAAACTAAAATTCCGTTTTTCTTTGGACGTTTCTGGAACGAAGCTGTTCCCGTAACACAAAAAAAGGGAATTTATTCTTCTCTCTTTGGTATAAAGAATTGAGGTACAGGATGTTTTTTGTCAATTGAACTTGAGACAAGGAGTGTGTCAAAAAAAAATAATTCAATGGATTTCGGCAATCAATAACTAATCAATCAGTATACTGGGTGAATCAAATTCGAAAGCCACCATCGGGATCTCGGAAACTAGGAAATTATAAAACAAATCAATTAAGTGCATTTTTCATCTACATTTTCTAGAACCAACGAGAAATTTATACAAACCAAGACATTTTCTGAACCTGATTTCGAGGAATAAATTGAAAATATCAAATTTAGCTTTTTATGAAGTCAATACAGTCCATAATTAGGGGACTAGACAATTGAATTAAATTGTCAAACAATCTGTTTTTCACAATGGAATAATTTTATACAATTCATTACCGAATGAGTTGAAAAATATACATGATGCAAGAAGGTTTGAAATCAATCTTGAAAAATACTTGCTTAGGACAATTTGAATGAAAAATATGTGGCATGATTTGATTTCTTAGAAATGAAATATAACTTCAATCTTAAGAAACAATATTAATTCGTTTCCACTGAGTGGAATTCATTATTTAACCCTTTATTATTATTTTTTTATAGGTATTTATGTATCCCTATCATAAACAGAAATGTTTCTTGGGGTAATAAAGACAATCAATCAATCAATGGTTGAATCAGGGCAAAGTTGCGCATTTATGTGATTAAAAATATGCCGTCGAGAAAAACAGAAATTGTTGTCATATTTGTTGGGTTCTAACCTTCTTCGCCATTGACGAAAAATTAAACAATCTTTAAATATCAACCACATCCTAATAAATAGTGAGACAGAAAATGTTAAATTTGACAAATTTGATTCATTTTTGGAAGAATTCGATGTGGAAAATTTTGAGAGTGCAAAGATTATCATCCAGGTTTTTTTTTTCATACAAATCCAATGATTTCGTGAGCCCACTCATTTTACATGAATATAATGAAACATTAACACATTAAATTTGTTTGTTGGGATGGTGGCCCACGAATTCGAATCACCCGGTATACCCATATAAAATGTGTTCTAGTATTTGAGGAAATCAGGTTGACAAGTGGGAGAGAACAGTTGGTGACTAACACCGAAATAATCGAAAAGAAAAAAGTATTTTGTACGGACATTTACCCATTTTTTCTACTATCTAGTCAAGTAGCATATAATCTTGATGTATGTTCGATTTTTGGTGTTCTATTTTGAGACGGTTTACTGGGTGAGTTTTGCGTTATTTGATATGATATCGACACTTGTTATATTCATAAATGGCCTACACTATCATAAATCTTTTAAATAAGCGTGAAGACGTAAAACTTCAGAATCCGGTTTTCGGTCTTTTGGCTTGATTGTTCTGGTTAATATTTTCAATGTCCATTATTGAAGAAATGTTGGTTAAACTGCATTTAGCATGCGATGCGTTTTTTTTCGAAAATTTTTTTTTGGACACGTATTTTTGTCTGAAAAACACGAATTTCATAATGAAAATGTGAACAAACCATTATTTATCAAGATATTTCACTATAAAATTACAAATTCTGCTTTTCCGCCTGTCTTCTGGATTGCATTTAAAACGATTTACCCTTCTTTTTTCATCATTGGACAATTTATATCACAATGTAAGACACATTTTTTTCTTTTATTGAGTCAACTAGAAATATGATTTACTTGTGATTTATCCATATTTAGTGAAAAGAAGGAAGAATATCATTTAAAATAATGGCGTGTGTAATGTCATTCAAAAGCACTCTGTTGACATTTGACATCTCTTATTTGGATTGACTATTAATTAAATGGCCGTCATCTGGTATGCTTGTTCACTAAATATGAAAAACTCGCCATAAAAATCATATTTCCTGTTGAATTTTCTATATAAAAATGTGTCATTGAAGTACATGATGAGTATATAAAGTGTCCAGTGACAAAATAAGAAGCGCAAGTAGCTGTAAATGCATCCAACACAAGGGGAAAGAGGAGTCGAAATTTCGAACTTTTTTTTTTTAAATATCTCGATAAATAGTGGTTTATTCACATTATCATTGTCAAATTCGTGTTTTTCAGACAAAAATACATAAGTACCAAAAAAAATGTTCGAAAAAAACCCATCGCATGCTAAATGCAGTTTCACCGAAATGTTTCTTCACGAAGTACAGGGTGGGCAAAATTCGATGTCTAATAAGCTATATTATAAGAAGAAGATGGTAACAATATGAGAGAAAGCTCTCAAAAGTAATTGAGTTCCCTTCCAAGCCAAATTCTTCCATGTTTGAGAACCAAAAATACCTAATCGAATTGGTTTTTTTTTTCAGAAACAACTATATTTTGGTATATTTGAGAAAAGCTATTTTTTGTGAACAAATTTCTGTCGAAAATAATTTTTCAACGGGAGATTATTTTTCTCTACATAATTTGTCCGGAAAAATTTACCAAAATATAGGTATGTTTCTAGCAAATATCATTTTTTCTGTGACGGGAAAAAAGTTTGGCATTTCATCTCTGTTGGCAGGTTCTAAAATGTCACTTCATAAATTACTTTTTTCCCGTGGGAAAAAAGTGAGTACTTCTTTCCCGGATATATATCACATATATATACACTGTTGATGGCTTTTGTTGTGCTATAGTTCCGAAAAATGAGTCAATAATACCGTCTCCGAGAAAGAACTGCAAGTCCTTTTATCTCCCCTTCGACTTCGCGGTTTCGTATATTACTAAACAACCACTAAATTCGCAATTTTTTAAAATCAAATCACAGAATTCTGACAGAAGTGACATCAGATATTTGATTGCTTCAAAATAATGACAAAGATGCCTACAACGCAGGTGTCCCTACTGTTGAAAACTTAAAATTTCACGTCGATAATTTTCAGATTTAAAAATAACGTAATATCTTCTCAATATCGATTCGTCCTTTCTTCTGTCACAGAAAAAAATATTGTATTATACACGGGAAAAATAGTAGATTTTAGCTCACGGTTTTTTGTCTCCCTCCGCTACGCGTCGGGAGACAACACAACCTGGAGCTAAAATCTACTACTTTTTCCCCTTGTATAATAAATAACTATTTATACACGGAAAAATTATTAGATTTTAGCTCACGGTTTTTTGACCCTATGCCATCATATATTCATCATTTTCTTCTCGAGTTTTGTTGACCTTTTACACATGTTGGAAAAGGAAACTGATGTATTAATGGAGAAATATAAGGGTACTGAAAAATAGGAATATTTGTGGAGGATGGCACTTCATAGCATTTAAATAAAAAACAAGACTGTTTAAATTAGGTGAGATCTTGATATACGAATGAAAAACAAAATGAATTATTGGGTAATTTTATATGCAGCGAATTTATATTTCATTGGTTAGGATTTCATTGGTTGACCCCAATGATGCTGGTAATATTTCCCTATGTTGTTATAATCCGAGTTATTTTGTATCATTATTTGTTTGTGAATATAAAATCATATGATTTGGTGGGTTTCATTTCTTGTTACTTGCACACTATCATTTCCAGTTCCTTTTTGTTTTTGGGAAACAATTAAACTCGTTGAATAAAATCGTGTTTTATTTAAAATAATTTAAAACTAAACCTAAAAAACCTCTCCCATCTTCCTAGTCGATTTCTAGTTTCCTGAAGGATCCTTCCGTTCCAATCTGGTCCTCAAAATATACACAGCTCATTTTTTCTCTTGGCATCATCGACGAGTCTATTTCGACTTGTTCCTGCTCCCGGAACCATCCTTCATTTTCTCTGAGGATTTCCAGCCAATCTTCGGTCAGTTCGGAAAAACTTTTGCATTTTCCACCGTAATTCGAGGGTAAGATGTCTTCACCGAAACGGTCTACTAGGCTGTTTGCATCTTGATGGAAAATAAACTGGAGAATAAAATAAAATATTTTTTCATTATTGGCACCACAAGTTTTTATTTTGTTCTATGAATTCGATAGATTTTCTTCAGAGAAATATAGATATATTGTGTAAATCTGAAAACTTCCAATGCGAATATCTCGCGAAAGAAAAAAGTTAGAAAAACGCCGTTTGGCAAAAATGCTAAAGAGTTAAGGGGAACTAGAACCACCATATTTCGGTCAAGGGATGAGTCACCCTGTCAGCGCAACACACCCCAACTTTGAAATGTCAAATGGCACTACCTCTTTTGTGATACCTCAAATGAACGGTCTCAGTCAGTAGTATTCACCTGTACAAGACTTTTTCCACCCACTACAGGGTGTACGAAAAATATAAAGTCGAATAAAATAAAATGAATTGTGTTAAAAGGATATTTTATTTGATCAGATGTTCAAAATGCATTCCATTCTGTTGTAAGCAATAGTATAATCGATGATCAAATGCCATTCTAACATTTTGGAACACATCTCTTGGAATATATCGGCATTCTGCATTTTATTAAATTCGACTTTATGTTTTCCGTTCACCCTGTAGTGGGTGGAAAATAAGTCTTGTACAGGTGAATACTACTGACTGAGACCGTTCATTTGAGGTATCACAAAAGAGGTAGTGCCATTTGACATTTCAAAGTTGGGGTGTGTTGCGCTGACAGGGTGACTCATCCCTTCACTGAAATATGGTGGTTCTAGTTCCCCCTAACTCTTTAGCATTTTTGCCAAGCGGCGTTTTTCTAACTTTTTTATTTCGCGAGATATTCGCATTGAAAGTTTTCAAATTTACACCCTGTATATTGTGTAGGTAGTCGAGCGACTGAATGGACATCAATGGGCGTGTACACCTTAGTAGAACTTTTAACTCAAACCATGTTTATAATGATCCTTTTAAACATAAATAATGATTGACGACATAATTCGATCGAAATATTAACTGGAATGTTTTATTTTTGGACATAAATAATGGTACCTTCTGAAAACGGACCCTCTTATGACGTAGAAACCTCATCTCGCCATAGTTAAAAGAAAATACCAAACGCCCGACGAAGACTGAGGCAACTGATATATTAATTCTTTCAACTGTGATCTCGCGCTAATTCACTCTGTCAGAAATCATGTATCATTCATCTCGGTCTGGAATAGTCTTGTATCAGTATAAGGGTTTTGACGTCACATCATCGCCTCGTTTTCAGAGGTCCGAAAAATCGGGGATTTCAATAATTTTTTATAAAACGTAGGGAGCTCACAGCAAAAAACGGTTTGCGGTGGTGAGCTAGTTTGGGTGAGTTCTATCGAATTATGAAATGATTTTTTCTTGTGATATAAGCCCATTATTGAAAATCTTTTACTATTACAGTTTGAGTTGTTCCATAAAAAAGTAAAATGGTACTAATAGCCCACGCTGTTTCTTGAAACAAAAGATCAACACATCGATAATGCACTTTATTCCTTAAAAATAAGTGAAACCAGACTAATGATTCACTAATTAATTATTGAAAAATATTTAAATTCAAACTGATAACCAAACCAGTTCTTTGGAGGCACAGACTAATAAATTGACGATGGTTCTTCAAAACAAAAAATGATCAATAAGCCCACCCAAGATATCTTAATGTAAAATCTGGATATCAATAATTTAGGCTGTTCGATAAATGTTAAGAACATACTAATATCTCGATCTGTTGCTATAAAACAAAGAATATAGGGTGATCCACGGTGGATGGCCTATTCGAAATATCTGGAGAACGAAAAGACAGAACATCCTGAAGACTGAGAAGCATTGATAGTTGAACATTCTCTATCTCTCACAATAAGATACGAATATTCTGGGGATGTTTTATGAACATTCGGGATGAACTGTTTTAAATATTCTGGAAAAATTCCTAGTATGTTGAATGGGAAGAAAGAAAATTTAAAAAAGCTTGCTCCGGTGGAGATGCGAGCCTAATATCTAGTGATTGAATTTTTACGTAGCTGTAACCTTAACCACAATGAATAGCAAGATGACAACAACACTGAATAAGTGGGATAAACAGCATTGAGGCTAGAGAATAATAGGTTGGGTCAGGGTAAACATTATAGATATTATACAAAAACAGAAACATCGATTTTGATAGGATTCTGAAATTACAAAACAAATCAATTAAGTGCAGTTTTCATCTACATTTTCTAGAACCAACGATAAATGTATACAAACCAAGACATTTTCTGAACCTGATTTCATTATATAAACTTAAAATATGTTCATTTTATTTGGTTCTTTGGGATTTTCTCTCCTCGTTTCTATAAAATAAAAGTATTCGTATTATTTCAATATATTTGTAGAGGGACAAATCAGATGATTTGCCCCAAAATGTCACTGCGTTTAACAAATTTTTCTATCAGGGAGTCTAAAAGAAAAATCCAGTAGCTTGTCAGTGACAATTTGTTTGAAAAAATTTTTGAAGGAAAGAAATATAGATATATTGAAAAAATATCGAATTTGTACTTATCTTTGGACGTTTCCTTCAAAAATTTTTTCAAACAAATTGTCACTGACAAGCTACTGGATTTTTCTTTTAGACTCCCTGATAGAAAAATTTGTTAAACGCAGTGACATTTTGGGGCAAATCATCTGATTTGTCCCTCTACAAATATATTGAAATAATACGAATACTTTTATTTTATAGAAACGAGGAGAGAAAATCCCAAAGAACCAAATAAAATGAATGTACCACCTCCTCGATTAACCTACAGACAGTATTTAAAATATGTTGCTTTATTCATTTTGCCAGGAATAAGTTGAAAATATCAAATTTAGGTTTCAATGAAGTCATTACAGTCCATAATTATGGGACTAGACAATTGAATTACTTGATAGCAAATACATTCGAGTCAAACATTGGCAAACAATCTGTTTTGCACAGTGGAATAATTTTATACAATTCATTACCGAATGAGTAGAAAAATATACATGATGCAAACAGGTTTAAAATCAATCTTAAAAAATACTTGCTCAGGACAATTTGAATGAAAAATATGTGGCATGATTTGATTACTTAGGAATGAAATATAACTTTAATCTTAAGTAACAATATTAATTCGTTTCCACTGAGTGGAATTCATTAATTAACCCTTTATTATTATTTTTTATATGTATTTATGTATCCCTATCATAAACAGAAATGTTTCTTGGGGTAATAAAGACAATCAATCAATCAATATGTCAAATTGAATGTCCATAGATTGAGTATTCGCTGCCGGATGAGAATATTCTATGATCATTCTGAGAACATTCTATAAGAATATTCTTGAGTAAGTATATCTGAACGTTGTCGGAATATTCATAGAATATTCTGTGCTGTCTAGGATGCTATTGCTAGAACAAAGTGAGTAAAGACAGACTGATGACTTACGCTATTCCTGATTTTGGCGTGCAGCACCGGTTTGAGGAAGGCTACGCTCTTTTCCACCGCCGAATGGGCCTTAACCACGTGGATCTCCTTGAGTCTGATCGCGTAACACTGCCTGAGCAATTGCATGTGGTTCCTTATCGAAATGAGAGCGTTCATTATATGCACCGAGGAGGAGTGTTCGCAATCAAAGATTGCTATTTCTTTCGCCACTGGGTTATAATTTTTCAGGAGCACGTCATCTGAGAAACAGAAAACGATATTAGTTATTTGTTTTTCTCGGCATTACATCTGTTTTTCTGCCATGTGAAATGTAGATCTATAGGAATTTATTATGACCCTCAGTTTATTAATTATATCCCACTAAAAATATTTGGAAGATATGTTGGTGCAAGGTTGTAGCAATTACTGAAACAAAAGTGAAGTTTGTAAATGCAACGTTCCAGCAATGCTACATTATCAAACTTCACTTTTGCGATATATTGCTGAACGTCTGTTTCAGTAATTGCTTCAACAGTGCATCAACATAGCTCCAACTTTGCTTTTGACGTGATGTTGGGTAGTGACGACTACAAGATAGAATCAACATATTAATCATAAATGTATATCTTATTTGTATGAATAAAATATACTGTTGGAATTATTCTATCTCAGTTATTTTTTCTTACATGAATTATACAGGGGGTTCTTCGTTACTGAATAATGGAAATATTCCAACCATAGAATCCTGAACTCAAAATAATGATTCAATCCAAATCACCTAGCTGAAATGTGTCTACTGCCTGAGTTACAGGGTGTTTTATTTGAACCTTCGAAAATCTTTTGTGCCCAGTACTTTGAAACTATTCGACGTATTATTGTCATATTTGGTAGGGTAATTTTTTTATTGAAAACTCCATCATTTTGTGTTCACTCAATGTCAGTGTCAATTTTGATTACCAATTTCATCCAACTTACGTGGAACTTTGCATAGCATCAAACTTTTTCTGCCTAGGCAATAAAGGTTATCACCTTTGCTGCCTGTTTAGTGTCAGAAAAACCACTTTCTATGCCGTTCGGAGAAAAAAAATATTTTTTCACTTGAGTCATCATTGATGATCACAATAACCGTGAAAAAGATCAACGTATCTTATTTTCAAATCATTTATAAAAATTATTATGATTGCCGGTATAGGTTTTTTAATTTAAGTCTGCTGAAACAATGGGGTCGTGAAACCAAATGGCTATATGTATATATATCTGATTTTTTTACGACCTGTTTCATTATTTCGATTAGGTACAGGTAATCATCAGCATATGCTCAATTTTTCATTTTTCCATCATATGTTTCACCCTGAATTAATTAATCTTATTTTTTAATTTATGACCATTCATTGGATCATCGGCATAGATATGGTAAGATGGTTATGGATTATGGTAAAGTTGTTTTCTTGAAAATATTTCCTGACATTTGTATACGGGAAATAATAATGCTTCAATGAGGAAATTGTGTCGATTAAAATTGAATACATCTACATACCAACAGCAATGTTTTGAAGACAAACACGTTCTCAATGTCGATTGAGTTTATGGATGCGTATTTAAACGGTATTTCCGCATTTATTTGAAAAAATACGTGATTCTTCAAGTATTTGTTCATTTGGAACGAAATGTGCGTAGGAAAATTCTCATTACGAAAAATATAAGCAGCGTGAATGAAATAGATATTTGCGTAACCAGTCAAGACACGCGATCATTTTGTGTAGCAAAGGAATTTTGCGGGACGAGAGAACGTGTAAAGTAGGTACAGTCGTCTTCAGAGATCATGTCGCGGTTGGACGGTGTCAGTGCTCTTATTGCAGGAGCTATTAAGATTGCTATCATTGTCCATGTGCAACATGTTTTCTGAAGACGACTGTACAAATGTTATTTCTAATTTTGTTACAAAATTTTGCTTCAATAGGAATAATGAGCATTTTTTCATGAGTTCTACCGATTATGTAAAAGGTGTTTGCGTATATCTTGATCCCTACCTACAGCTCCAACTATACGAGGTGGAAAAAAACTTCAGAAAAGAAAGTTGTATAGGGATTCGTCTGTACTATCTTTTGGCACTTCTCAAATGAATAAAAGCGAATCGCAAAATAGAAAAAAGAGTCCAAATCCAAATGTATATTTTCAACTCTAGTCAAAGATATGTTTCTCCTGTTCACAAATATATATAGTTTACAGAGAAGTGCACAAAAAACAGCCATCAGGACTGTAACTTTTGAATTATTCGAGATAGGGTTTTGAATATTGGGGTAGCAAGTATACGAAATTGCTCATTAATAGATGAAACAATTTTTGTTCTATCGATCACTTCCAGTGTCACCGGAAACGACCCCAACTTTTGATTTTTAAATGGGACACCCTGTATTGTATTCCATAATCGGTTAGGGATTATCATGACAAATTAAACGATACCGGGTTTGATAGGGTTATTTCAAACGATTACAAATAAGATATTTGCGTTCGAAGTTTTCATAATGCTCAATGGGTGTGACTTCGATATCGAAACTTCTTTCTCTGTCACATTCATTGAGCATATGGAAACTTTAGAACTCGAATATCTGCGTAATCGTTTGAAATAACCTTATCAAACACGGTGTCGATGGATTCGTTATGACAATCCCTAACCGATTATGGAATACAATACAGGATGTCCTATTTGAAAATCAATCAGTTGGGGTCGTTTCCAGTAAAATCGGAAGTGATAAAATAAAAATTGTTTGGTCAATAAATGAGCAATTTGGTACAAGTACCAGCTGTCCACCAATTTTCGAAACCCTATCTCGAATAATTCAGAAGTTACAGTGCTGGTCGTTTTTATAGTGCACTTATTCTCTCTATATGTTTTTTCAAGCATTGAATCGAAGTTGCCAGTAACATTTAGATGGCTGTGGAATGTGGATCCAACAGAAATGCCCTGGAGACATTTCTGTCGGTTTTTCAATTAAATGGGTTATTCCGTAGAGGAAAAATACGAAATCAAAAAAAATCAGTAGTGCAGCAAGAATTTGGTCAAAAACAGCTCAAGGTCTCATTGGCAAACTATATATATATATATATATATATTTGTGAACCGAATATAAAGATCTTTCACAGCAGTTGAAAATATATAGGGTGTTCCATAAAAAAATGATTTGGGCTCTTTTTTCTATTGCGATTCGCATTTATTTATTTATTTAAGAAGTGCCACACAAGATAGTACAGATGAAACCCTACAACTTCCAAATTTTTTTTCACCTCTTATAGTTGAGCTGTGTAGGGTTCAAAATTTAAAAAGAGACATCCTGTACAAAATTTGAAGTATCCGTCGAACAATATTATGGTCATAAATTAGCTACAAAGTTCACGAAATAGATTCGCACCAAATGCACTATCCTCTTCGTCAATCCACAATTTCATGACGTAACTGGTGTTGAAATTATGTAATAATCTACTCTACACAGCAACAGGTTACGAAAAGTGAGATGTTCCAAAACTTCCGTCAGTTTTGAAAAGTGTTACATTACCATTAAAAAAAAAGAGCGTTGCAGTAATGAAATATTCCTCTGTTTCTTTCAGTACCTTCTTTTTGAAAATTGCCGAAAGCAAAAATTCAACACAGTCCAAGAAATGATGTCGTTTGATGTTGAAATTTGTCTCTGCATGGTAAACAAATTATTATGTCATTCCATTTATTATGTTTGTTTAAACTAATGGATCATAATAATACCGGTACCTACTTACATATCATGAAGAATATTTTCAGGCTAAGGTTGAAGTCTATCTTTTTGAGATCATTTTCTTGTATTTTGAAGACTAATAGTCTGTGTCCATCCTTGGTCAATTTTGGAAGAGGGAAGATATTCCTAAAAAATAATGACAAAATCATATAGCTAAATTTATTGTGATCCTGCATGCAAATTGATTCTTACACTGCATTGAAGATATCTACTAGTTCTTGATCAACTATCCTATTTTTAAATATTCCAGGGAAACTGGATTTTGTAGCAAAATGTGTTTCCAATCTCTGTTTGGTTCTCTCCATGTCGTGTTTTGAACCTCGTAGGAAATTCCTAACGAAATTTTTATCTGAAAATAATACATTGTTTTATTAGGATCAAATGATCAAATTTTCTAAGTTGTGATTTTTCGTTTCTGATGATGCTTATTGAGGGGAGTATTCACCGTAGTTTTTGGGAAAATGCTGTTGACAATCTATCCACTTGAACAAAATGACTTCGGAATTTTCCAGTCTCGCTTCATTCTCTCCAATGTCATTTCGGATGATTTCTAAATGATTTTCGCAAGGTGCCATCATCGAGCATTGGGTAGACTCACAAGCGAAACCCGTTTTCAAGACCTGAAAGGAATTAAAGATACTTTTTATTTTCACTCAAAGGAGGTGATAATCTAGTCATTTCTATCGCTTGGTGAGATGGGATGTCCTGAGACGAGGTCAATGGCGTACAAGTATTTTTTTCTGAGTTTGAACGATTTACAGAGTGACCCATCTATACTGATATTATAAAGAGGAAAGATTTGTTTGTTTGTACCGCGTGAAAATGCTTCATTCCTACGGGAAAACGGGTATGGTGAGAATTTTCCTTCCGTACTTATCTTTTTCATATAACATTAATCAGTAAAACAACAAAAAGGTTTTTTTTGGTTTTTTGGATGTATGAGAAATTGATATTCATCATACAGGACGTAGAAAGAAATTCTGAATTGAGGAAACCTGATCACGAATCTGCGATTGAAGGTCTATAAAAATAGTTTCCATCGTTCAAGTTTCAACCCCTTGACTGGGTGAGAGTATTGTAAAGAAATATCCTCAGATAAATTATGAACATATAAAATTGGATCTATGGGACGAGAATATCAATTCTTTCTCGGTTTATTCAACAGAAAACAACTACTTTCCTGGTTATATGCTACGACGATGAGAATTTGAAAACAAAATCTTCTGAAGTTGAGAATTGTATTCTCCTTCAGATAAAAATATGTATCATTCTGGATAATCAACAGAAAACAACTACTTTCCTGGCTATTTGCCACTCGAACATTGAATTATATCTGTTGAACATCCAAAAATAGAGCATAAAAAATAATAATTCTATGAAATTGAGAATTGACATTCTCTCCCAAATCGGATAAATAATTTGATGTATTATGATATAAAACTATAACTTACCATTATGTTCTGTATATCGAAATGAAAATTGAAATGTATAGGAGAAGTAATATACTTTTGTATAAACTCTGATCTTGATGAGCTTGAAACTTTCAAAAATATCATCCATATCAGTGAAGAATGGCTGTAAGAATACCTTGACTTCAGGTTACTGAAGAGGGTTTGAAATCCGAAATGCGATCATTCGAATAAAGTGATATAACCTGTTTGTGTGAGATATGATTCCCATATCACTGATACGAATGATTTTTTTGGAAGTTTCAAGCTCATCATGATCAGAGTTTATACAAGTAAACTTCTCCTATACATTTCAATTTTCATTTCAATGCTGAACATCTTGGTAAGTTATATTTTTATATTATAATACATCATATTATTCATCCGATTTGAGAGAGAATGTCAATTCTCAATTTCATAGGATTTTTATTTTTCATCCTCTCCTTTTGGATGTTCCTCAGATACAATTATTCGATGTTCGACGTGGCAAATAGCCAGGAAAGTAGTTGTTTCCTGTTGAATATTCAGAACGATATTATATGAATACATATTTTTATCTGAAAGAGAATCGAAATTCTCATTTTCAGAAGATTTTGTTTTCAAATCCTCACCATGTGTGTTTTTAGTAGATATACAATGTTCGTCGTGGCATATAGCCAGGACAGTAGTTGTTTCCTGTTCAGAAAACCGAGAAAGAATTGAAATTTTCATCACATAGAGAATGCGAATTCCCAATGTATTCCCTTATATATTCCATTTTTTTATGTTCCTAATTTATCTGAGAATATCCCTTTTCGATACTTTTAGCCAATCGAGGGGTTCAGACTTGAACGATGGAAATTTTTTATTTTTATAGACCTTTAATCGCAGATTCGTGATTAAGTTTTTTCAATTCAGAGGTTTTTTTTCACGTCCTGTATGATAAATATCAATTTGTTATACACCCAAAAACAAGTATTTTTCTTGCTCACTTGTTATTTCCTATTTTCCACTCAGGAGCTGCGTTTGTAGAAACTTATATTATATCTTGATTTTTCGATTTAGATATTCACAAAAAAATATACATATTTTTCTTTATATAGGTATATCTTCTAATAGAATATTTCAAAAGATGAGAATTTCCATTTACAAAATGATATTTGTTTAACCTCATAATTTTTTAATTGCAAGAGAATGAATTAAAATGGAATTGAAATACTTGAGTAATCGTATTCTGATTACTCAATTTATTTCGAGGCATAAAACGCCAATATAAAATCTCAAATAATTACGTTCTGTCTGAGATATGGAGTGCTAAAATTTGAGAAACCAAAATTGTTCCCTTTGATGGAATAGTCAATTTTCTCTTGAAGGTTCTTCAATTTTTAATGAAACTCATGATATTTCTTCCATTGGCGCACTATAATAGCAGGCTGAAGTTCTAGAAAAGTCTGTGACAAACCTAATTAGTTCAATTTCATAAAATATCAGGTTTTTCGAAATTGAAAACTTGAAATAGCTATTCTTTTTGGCAAAACTAATATTTTTGGTGTTCAAGTTGAATTATGATCGTTCGAATATAAAATCTATTTGGGAGAGATCTTTGCCATCATAATCAAGCTTCCTGCTTGATTTTTTGTGTAAATAAACCGTGTGGCATATCAGAATTCAATTTTCTAACACTATTTTCACTGTTTTGTTCTCATATTTTAATATCACTGAATAAATCGATCTACGTCAATATACAGGGTGCTATTTAAATATGTGTCCAAACTTCTAGGGGTGTCTTCTTCGGTGATTCTAAGACGAAATGTTTCAATGATCTGATGATAAATCTGATTCTAGTCGAATCTGCCCCTCGCAAATAAAAATGCCCCTCGCAAATAAAAAAAAATCCTTTGGCCACATACTTGAATAAGACCCTGTATATGTTTCTTTTAGTTATACAAACTTGATATGTTTTCTGAAAATATTTACTCACCATTTTTATTCTTTCAAATATATTATTTTTTCGAACTACACACACACTTGAAATTATAATTACATCAAAAGCGCGGAAATTTCGAAAAATAAAAAAACACTGGTCTCGGCACTGGACTGTCCACTAGCAGTCGTAAGCAATGTTCGTGGAAGATTAAACAGCATACAGCGAGTTCATTTTATATATGCGAGGAATCGTCATTTTTTTTTCTTCGACCTTGATTATTTTCATGAACTTGGTGGGTTGTTTGACATATCTGGATTTTTATTAGAAAAACTTAAGATTATTAGTTCTGGTCGCTGACCATAATCATGATCTTACAGATGCTCTTCTATATAGGGTGGTCATCGGGAACACTATATAGACGACTAATGAATCACATTTCTAGTGAAATGGTTCTTGTTTTATTTATGATGGCAACACACGTGCTTGAATTTGTGATACGTGAGTTTTCATCAATTCTCCTAAAGAAAAAAGAAAAACATTTGCCAAGTACAATGTTTTCTAGTGAAAATTATTAGTCAACATCAGTGATGATATGTTTTGTAATCGATGTTATGGAAAGTCGTTTTCGTGCGACTTAATTCAAAACTCGAAATAAACACGACTTGTTGACAGTCTCATCGATTCCCAGATTTTGTCTATGTTTTCGAATTGCATGATGTTAATCCAGTGTTGGAATCAATATTTCATTTAAAAAAATGCTAAATACTATTGAACTGCTTTTATAAAAACGTATAAAGTTCCCTGATTTTTTTTATGTTTGATCAGTCCTCAGCGGTCACAGGACTCAGCACCCCTGAAAAATCTTGATTTCTTTTATTGATCTTGATTAACTTTATTTTGATTGGTTGGTATTTGGAAAGAAAATTCAATAGTTAGGAACTTATTTTCATTTTTGTATCTGTAATAACCAACTACGTAATAACCAACTACAACCATTTTTATGTACTCAAGTTTCAAAAAATACTGTATCAAGGACTGTTTTCCTAGAAATCATTGGACCAAATTACTCGACTGTTTGTGTTTCTACTGTTGACAATTTAATGCATGTATTAAAAATCCCATATGTCATATATGGCGTGTGTGTCAATTTTCCTTACTTGTGATGTCAGAAGAGAATTTAATTTGTGGAAATGTCGCAATTTGAAGAGTCTTCGAAAGGAGAAATTGAAAAAACCCAAAAATGTGACCTACGTATTAAATAATTGAATTGTCTTTCCGAATTACACTCAGGCATTTTTTTGGGTCGATGTAAACTTGACATTAATAATTTGAGTTTAGTTGCCTTTAGGCATATCGACTGAAAAAACTGCCAGAATAAGGCAATTTTTTTCATTTTATAACATAACAAAAAAGGTCTCGTGTAATCATAATTGGAAAAAATCTCTATGATGATGATACTTTTTGAAAATAAGAGCTCAAAAATAAAGTTATCCACTTGTTGAATGCGTATTTCGTGCATCTACCTGAAATAATTTTTTCGAGATTTATAAAAAAAATAGTATATTTTATTTCGAGTCTGGAAAAAGAGATTTTCATTTCTGGACGTGTAATGAACGATATTTTTTATTACACTTCGTTGAAAATGAAGATATAATAAGAAGGTTCAAAATCAATCTTAAAAATACTTGCTCAGGACAATTTGAAAGAAAAATATGTGGCATGATTTGATTACTTAGGAATGAAATATAACTTCAATCTTATGACACAATATTAATTCGTTTCCACTGAGTGGAATTCATTATAGTTAACCCTTTATTATTATTATTTTATATGTATTTATGTATCCCTATCATAAACAGAAATGTTTCTTGGGGTAATAAAGACAATCAATCAATATTACATAAAAAAGACGCGAAAGAAACTTGCAACATATTTATTTTCATAGTTGTAACGGATGAAAAAAACCCACTGGAAATAAATTCGCGGTCGCTTGATCCGCTTGCTCTATGATAAAATGGGGAATTTCGGGATTTTCTTCTGAGTTAATTTTGTCGGCATAAATTTGATTGCCAGAGAATAATAGTACATTATACATCAAGGGACAGAAATTCAAGAGATACAATAAAGCACCGAGGGAAAAATAGCATTCTGTCGTGAGGTGTGTATACTATTTTTTACGCTGGCGAAAACACACGGTACGGGAGCCGGAATATAAGGAGGTAGACCCAGAACCAGGATGTGTGCTTCCTTGGGGAGGTATGCTTCAGTATTCCAGGCAGAGGTGCATGCTATTGAGGCATGCCTGAGAGAGAATATCGTAAGAGGATACAGAGGTAAACAAATCCTCATATGCTCAGATAGTCAGGCGGCCATTCAATCTTTAACATGCAATAAAATCAGATCCAAACTGGTCTGGGATTGCCTTCAAAGCCTGCTAACCCTGGCTAACCACAACAAGGTAACTCTCCAATGGGTGTCAGGGCATAAGGGAATTGAAGGCAATGAAGCAGCTGACGCTCTTGCTAGGCAAGGGTCTGCGGCGTTGTTTATGGGACCGGAACCTGTGTTCGGTATCCCTAAAACCTCAATACGCGGCTGGCTGACAAGGTGGATGCAAGAAAGACATCAGGCATACTGGAACAATGTCCCAGGACAAAGACACAGTAAACTGATGGTTGGAACACTGTCCAAAACAGTGACTAACGACATTCTCAGCCTAAACAGAAGTCAGATCAGACAAGTGACGGGACTAATAACCGGTCACTGCCTCTTGAGGAAACATATGCATCAAATGGGCATCTATACAGACGAACCCATATGCAGACTATGCAATGAGGAGGAGGAAACTGCCACCCATGTAATATTGGAGTGCGAAGCATTAGCGCGTTGGAGATACAACCTTCTGGGAGCAGTAAACTCTTCTTTCCAAAGAATGATTTGGTGAAGAGGCTGCTAAACCTTATCAAGGTAGCGAACCTGTTCACCTAAGTCATCAGCATGATAAGGAATACAATAGGCCCTAAGGCTGCAGCGTTTTGGGCTTCGAACCCTGACTGATCATTCTGCTATTAATCAATCAATCAATCAATAGTAAGATCTAGAAATCTGTATGATGCAGCTTACACTCGCCTCAGAAAAGGGTGTTCCGAAAAGGATGCGCAGAGCTATGAGGAAAATGTAAATTTGGTATAAACAACCTAGGGAGAAAATATGTCACATTATCTCCCTAGGGAATAATACGAGACTTCTGCCCATCTTTTGTTACCAGAGAAACTCCCGCCATCGTAAAAAGAACATTTATTTCAAAAGTTTTTCTTGCGTTTTAGTGCCTCGCTCGTTTCAATATAGGAAACACCCTGTATAGATGGAAAAGCAATCAAGGTACCTACATGGGGGGTATATTGACAACCACCAAACATCCACTCTGATCGCGATAATCATTATAGTCCCGCTGTTGTTCTTACTCCCATAATAACCAAGGTTGCCCTTTTTATTTTGTCGCCCGTCTCCGGCCCTGGGCGTATTGATTACGGCGTCCCGACGCCAGATAATGGTATGGCATGCAACAGGCGACACATCAGTTTGTTTTCCACGTTCCACGTTGATAGTCATAAAGCGTGGAGATATTTCAGAGAGAGATACGCACGTATTATTGTGGTTGGTGCTTTGTATGTAGTTTTTCTTTTCAGGGCTGGAAAAATTATTGTATCTGGGTTGGGTATAGGTGAGGTGAGTAGCATATGTTTTTCGATTTGGAAGTTTTGCGTTAGTGATAGTTGATTATCAAATTTGCGTTTCAGATGGTATAATAACAAAGCTTATTTTTTTTATATTCATTGAAGTTATACTTGATAAGTTATCTCAGAATTTTCTTTGGTTAGAGAAGGTTTATGTACTAATACCTATATTGTTGATTTCAAAAGATTTTGAATTTCTCATCAATATCCCTCAATTTTTTTATACCGCGTGTTCCTGTTGTGGTAGATCGCTTCTAGTACTTTTCTTTCTTTGATTCATTGAAAATTGAATGTGGCGATTATTCATAATTTTATAACGAGTCGCCAAGTTTCGAAAACTTTTTTTCGAAGAATATAATAGAATAGAACTTGTACATACACCCTAGAATATTATGCATTGTTTGAAGATTTGTTTTACTATACGATAATAAAAAAGACCCCATGAGTTACGATAGCATATTTCTACGAAAAAAAACAAAACAAATACTATTGTAGCTAATATATTATATACCCAGTGTCCGCAAAAAATATAAAAATGTTGACCCTGGATTTTTGTGTATTTCTTCAATCTGTTGATTCCACTAATAAAATCTCGAAAATAATAGTTTTTTTTTTCACTTATTCTGTTATACCATCGAAAAAATGATCTACTTATAGAGAAAACGAGCATTTTATCAAGATCATCTATATGTACAGCGTGTTTCATTTCAAACTGCCCCCCCTATATCTCAGTTATTACTCGAGCGATCTTCACCAATGGACCGGAATAAATAACCATCAATATGATCAGTATTTCAGAAAACAACGTAATTTTAGACAGTGCCGTAAATTTTTTATGTAATATCAGGTTATTTTGTACAGGGAAACTGACCTCATTATCTTCATATACCGAAGAAAGCTACAGGGGGTCATTTGGCTCTTGGAGGCCATTATAGAAATGTTGTTGGATTTTTCAGGAGAAACATAATTATAAAAATAGGCAAATCAATAAGGATCAAAATCTGGAAATCGTGGAGGATATTACTGATAAAATAGTTTTTACCCATCAGTTCCATGATGATGGGTTTTGGAACTGGAGAAAGGACAAATAGATTCGTGTGTCCAAATGATAGACAACTTTCATTAAGAGCAAAGTGAGTAAATATATATCTATACAGGGAATTTCTGAAATCGAGGCGCTAAATAACAAATAATACAATTTTGCCGAAAAAACAATATTTTGGAAGATTAGAGAAGTTAATTGCTGGACCTTATCGTTTGCTTCTGGCGATCATCAATTTTATCTTTTCCTACGAGCGTACGCAAAATAGTACTTTTCTGCACTAATTTGCGTGCGCAAAGTAATATTTTTCCGCACTCAGTGCGGATATGGGTGTTATCCGCACGGCGTACGGATAAGTAAAACCTATGGTAAAACTATCCAAAAGTCTCACTGGTATCGAACATTTATATTCATTTCAGTTGCTGTAGGTATGCACTATAAGAGGCCGTTATCCCTTTTACTTTTCAACCGTTCAGCTAAAAATGATTCAATAAATTGTAATTTGAGTTGAATTTTTATTGATTTTCGTTTTTATATTTTGTTGTTATATGTGATTATTGTATAGTTACATTTTTCAATACGTTATATATTTTTTTAATTTTCCTTTCTATCTGATATGAAGCTCGTAGGAAAAACGTTGTTCCTAACACGTGCACAAAGTGTCTTTTCCGCACGCAAAAACTTATTCAAACTCCGAAAAGTAACACTTTGCGCACTTGTTAGGAAAATAACTATTTTCCATGTTGGCAAACTTCTTGTCATCATCTTGTTCATGATAATCCAGTTTATGTATCGCTTCAATTTCGGTAACAACCTGTATATTGCCATTGATATTCCATGCTGCATAACATTATCTGGATTGAGGAACTAAGAGAACTATTATTCATTGAAACGGTTTGCTTCCGGACAACTATTCCAAGTTCCTTGATACACTGACTGATGATGACCTTGTCGTGGTTCCATACTGTACGTAGTGAATAAAACATATCAGTTCCTAAACGTAAATAAACTATTGAAACTATCATTACTCACCTTATTATTCTTGAAACGCCAAATATTGTCTACGATCGATTATTATTAAGAATATTGAGCGTGTACTATTCTTAGTCGGGGCTAAATTCCAAAAAAAGCCCTCCGTTACAATCCTAGAAGCATTTCATGTAACAATTGGATAAATGCTGTTAACCCCCTATTTTGACCCCGCTGAATCCGAAAATACCGTTTATCAAGTCGAAATTCCAACCGGAAGTGAGATATTCAAAATGGCGTCCAGAATACCCCTAAAATCAAATTATTTTCTACTTTCGGTCAGCTATACGATTGAGGTGTCGATGTCTATGTTTTCGGGGGTGTAGAATACGATGAGACACTCAAAAAATTATTTGGAGCTTTGAAAGTTCATCGAATGATCAAATTTTGACGAAATGGGCAAAAATTCCAAAGAACTTGTGATAACGTGTTGTATAATGTACATGCTTGCATACGTTTTCGAGGGTGCTCGATACGTTTATGAGCCAAAAAAGCATTTGAACATTGTCCAAGTCTTCATTTCTTATATTTTGAAAAAAAAAAGTTCACTATTAGTAGTCTTCCTCATCTTTTCTGCTCCATTCGGCTCCCTGCAGCCACACTGCTTGGTGCCGCAGTGGCCGCAGAGCCCCATGCAGCCACAAGCTCCAAATTCGGGACATGACTTGGGAATAGGTAGCAAAGTCATCAAGATTGGGACTTACCGTCCATCACCAATTTTCCAGCCGCAATTAATCGGGTCTGGTGAATCAAGATACTGATAATAGGCGTTAAACCACACACTCTAGTACCCAAAAAGAAAACAGACTAAAATTAAAATCCCTCGATTTTTTCTATTTTCTTTTTCTTCTTGTTAATTTTATCTGGAAGTGGTACCAAAGAATGTGTTGATGGATGGCATCAGGGGTAGATGGCAAAAATCATTCGCACTGTCCCAAAAATTGCAACACGGGCTGCGTCTGCCGTTGTAATGTCCGGTCCAACTTGAAATAAAAATGATATTAGTATAAAAACGGCTAACAGTTCTAATTCACCATGTGTCTTAGAAAAGGGACGCAACAAACCTTGTATAAAGCTGGCACCACAAACTGTTCAGCCAAACGGAGATCCTCGGGGGCTATATCAGGAGTCTTTCCAAGCTGACTGAGGAGTTTACAGTAGTTTTCTTCAATGTACTGCTTCCACCGTCCTGTTTTTGTGGCAGACCCTCATCAAGATTTAGTATCACATTCGGTGATTGCATGGAAATCCATCAGGTTTTTGATCTGTTGTGATGTGAGCTTTCTACATAGTTCATGAATTGTAATATACTTTCTATCTCGGGATTCCTTGCATTTCATTCTTTCAAAGTGATAGATGAATAATGAAATCACACTAGTGTCTTTAACAGAAACAACAACAGCCTCTCTCTCGGTTTTTACGCATGGAGTATATTCCAATTCACGAACTATGTAAGAAACTTGCACCACAACAGATAAAAAACCTGATGGCTTTCCACGCAATCACTGGATGTGATACTACATTTAAGTTAGCGTCAGTCACAAAAACAGAACGGTGGAAGCAAGTACATAGAAGAAAACTACTGTAAACTCCTCAGTCGGCTTGTAAAAACTCCCGATCTAGCCCCCGATGATCTCCGTTTGGTTTAACAGTTTGTGGTGCAAGCTTTATACAAGGTTTGTTGCGTCCCTTTTCTGAGACACATGGTGAATAAGAACTATTAGCCGTTTCGATACTACTACCATTTTTATTTTGAGTTGGACCGGCCATTACAACGGCAGACGCAGCCGATGTTGCAATTTTTTGGACAGTGCGAATGCTTTTCGCCATCTACCACTGATGCCCTCCGTCAACACATTCTCCGGTGCTACTTCCAGGTAAAAGAAAATTGAACAAATCGAAGGATGTTAATGTTATGTTCAGATACTAGTGTGGATTAAGGCCCATGATCAGTATCCTGATTTATAAGACCCGAATAATTACGGCTGGAAAATTGTTGATGGACGATATGTCCCAATCCTGATGACTTTGCCACCTATTCCCAATTCATTTTCCGAATTTGGAACTCGTGGCTGCAAGGGGCTCTCTCAAAATATAAGAAATGAAGGCTTGGACAATGTTCAAATGGTTTTTTGGCTCATAAACTTATTGAGCACCCTCGAAAGCGTATGCAAGCATAAACATTATGCAACACGTTTTCACAAGTTCTTTGGAATTTTGGTCTATTTCGTCAAAATTTGATCATTCGATGAACTTTCAATGCTCCAAATCATTTTTTGAGTGTCTCATCGTATTTTACACCCTCGAAAACATAGACATCGACACCTCAATCGCATAGCTGACCGAAAGTAGAAAATAATTAGATTTTAGGGGTATTTCGGACGCCATCTTGAATATCTCACTTCCGGTTGGAATTTCGACTTGATAAACGGTATTTTCGGATTCAGCGGGGTCGAAATAGGGGGTTAACGTCATTTATCCAATTGTTACATGAAATGCTTCTAGGATTTGGCTTTTCGCAAAACAAGCCCCGACTATTCTCATTTGGCATTTAGTTTTTCAATAACTGGATACTTCTTCGGCTTCTTAATTTTTTCTAGTTTAATTAATTTTGTATTACCGTTTCGAAGCTCCTTCAACTGTGTAGGTACAATAGAAAAAGAGGAGACCTTGTATAGCTAAGGGATAAAGTATCGAGTTTTCTAAAAGGCACATCAGCAAAGAGATAATAAGGAAATATCTCAGGAGATGCTTTCCACCGAGTTGGACTTATTGATTATTTGGACCTTAATTGGACCTGTCATTCAGTATTCTGTTTCATGCAATTACGCTTTGAGTTACGAGAAATCGGTTCCTAACCAGTGACGCACTAATATGGGTTTTATTGAGTTTCAGTTTCGAAATTAGTTAGAATTCAAAAGATATTTTGTACCTTCCTTTTTTTTTTTGTTCAAGCATATTTGCAGAAAATACTCGATAAAAGATAATAATTTTTATCAGTACACCCAGATCTCATATTGCTTTTTATTATAGAATATATAATTTGTAATGATAGGAGATTACAGAAACGAGGTTAATCATTTGGTATTGTAATTAGGGAGTTAACAACAATATATTGTAGCTGATACAGTATCGATTTTTAGATTAATTCACCAACAGTTGTTGCATCTATGCAAATTCCCCCTTATTATGGTTGTCACGGCAAGGGCTTATAAAAAGTAATATTCCCACGTCTATGTTTTCATAGTTACAAGGTGTTTTTTTTAACTCTTCACGGCAGAGCTATTTTCTCGTTTTAATTCCAAACTTTTCGTGTTATACCGAGCATATCATCATCGATATAAAAAAATACTAAACCAGGAAGTTTCAGAATTGATTAATTTAGTGCTGAATTATTCATTCATATAGGCCACTTGAGAGTCAATAGAACAACTACTCATGAGCAGTTTATTCTTTTTAATTTGATGATATGAATCTGATGATCATTTCAGATTGAACACAGGTTGGAGTGTGAAGACAGAAACCCTTGGTTACAATAATTCTAAAGTTTCTAAGTCATCTTCAATAGGAGCTGAAGAACAAGATGCTATAGTACAGGTGATACAAAGGGCTGAACAGCTAGATGTATCTGAACAGGAAAGGGTAGGTATAACTACCTATTTTCAGAAGGGATGAAATACTTAGACATTATCTCTCAACTTTTTTTTCAAATGGTAACAGACACTTTTTCAAAAATTCTTCTCCGATTTAGTGTCATTCGAGGACGATTTTTCAGTGATTTTAAGACGAAAAGTTCATATAAATATAGTCCCTTATTATTACAATCGCTCCTTGAAGTTTGGCCACATACTCTAGTAACACCCTGTACAGCAAATTGTTGAGAAAACAATTCCTCATTAATTTTAAGATAGATTGTTTTTTCTTGTAGATCGGAAAGCTAGTGGAGAGACTCGAAACCATGCGGAAAAACGCGTTGGGCAGAAACCCATCTCAATGTTTGCTATGCGGCGATGGGTTTGGTATACTGGGCGCTCAAAAAGTAATGTGCATGGACTGCCGACGATTGGCTTGTCAAAAATGCGTCATAGATTCGTGCGCAGGTACTAGCAACAGGTATATCTACACGGATTTTTCATTTGTTTTTCGTGGTGAATGGTAACTTGATTGTGGTCATCTGCCAAACGCTCACTAGAAACATCACTTATCACTTTAGGCTTCCACTTTGGCAAAAAATATGGTTTACTGACTGGTTGCACCACTTATTTGTGTTTGTTTTGGGTTAGTTCAGGTTCCTTTGCACTATTGACTTCCTTTTGATTGATTTTTTGTTTCCAACTTGGTCACAAATATGTTATTGCTACTTGCACCTTTGCCTTCGTTGTCTTCTAATTTGTCGCATTCAATCTATCATGAGTTTTTTTCTCAAGAATCTGATGACTTGAATCATTCAATTGTAAAAGACGCCTGGTATATATGATAATAATAATAATATGATGGTTCAACTACCAAGATCTAGTTCTATAAGGGCTTACCCAACGCCGGAATACGATGTAGAAAGAAATTATCTGCCTGATGGTGTTTGTCCTTATTAGTCCAGTGAAATTCTTCTTATACTAGTGTTCGATAAAAATTACAACATTTTGATGTTCAAAAGTAACATTATTTGCAACCTGTTGTGGACTGAAAGAGAGCTCAGAGAGCTGTCACTAGCAGTCACCGCCATCACCTGAAGGAATGTCTGAAAAGCATCTGCAAAAAGTCGGGATTCTGAGTCTGGGTTAATCCAGGTCGTGGTCTGTCTCTTCTTCTCCTAATTCGTCGGTTTCATACTTCGATGATTTTTGTTCTCAATAATCGGACTCGGACTTGAATCTTATACTAATGATTGATGACATTAGTTTTTGTGTATGGTTGGCTAAAAACCCTTCTAGTGTTCGAAGTTGACTTTCTCTGCAACCTGTTGTAGACTGTATCTATACCAGCCGCCTGAGCAACCTTGCGAGAGTATTTTGCACTCGACCACAAGCCTCGGAATCTGGCTAAAGAGAGCAGTCACTTGCAGCCAGCAGCACCACCTGAAGGAGCATTGGCTATGTCTGGCGCTTGGTTCTTCTTCTGGCTAAAGAGAGCTGTCACAGCAGCCACGAGCATCACTTGAAGGAATGCTGGCTGTGAAACGAGAAAGATTTTTGCAAACAGTCTGGCGTTCGATTCTGGTTTGTTTCAGCTTATGATTTCCTTTTTTGTCTTTTATTTTGTCGCTTTCAATCTATGATGATTTTTGTTCTTGAAAATCGGACTCGTACATGAATCTTTTACTTTTGTTTGATGAAAATTATTGCTGACGGCTAAAGGAAGCTGTCGCTTGCAGCCAAGGGGCAATGGCTGTGAAAAGAGGTATTGCAAAAAGTCGGGAGTTAGAGTCTGGGTTGTTTCAGGTTGCTGTTTGCTTCTTTGTCTGCTAATTCGTCGCTTTCAAACTTTGATAATTTCTTTCGCAGTAATTGGACTTTAATTTCTTGTACTAGTGTTTGATAATAATTGCTGCTGACTGCACTCAAAACTAACAAAGCTACATATATTTCTATGGAGGAGATGAAAATGGAGCAATGAATCAGCTTTGAATATTCCTGGTGGCGGTATCTGTGTATGATTGCCTAAAATTCTTCTCTGAATCAACACTCTCTGGTTGTCGAAAACAATTTTAGTGTTCAAAGTCGACTTTCTCCGCAACCTGTTGTAGACTGTATCTATACCAGCCACCTGAACAACCTTGCGTGAGCCTTTTGCACTTGACCAAAAGCCGCGGAATCTGGCTAAAGAGAGCTGTCGCTTGCAGCCAGCAGCACCACCTGAAGGAGCACTGGCTGTGTATGATTTGCGCCGAAACTAGGGAGATTTGGAAAAAGTCTGGCGCTTGGTTCTTCAAGAGCATCCCCAAGTATATTCTGCCCGCCGAGACTCCGAGGTTTTCGAGGACGAGGAGCGTGAGGATATCGAGGAGGTATCGAGAGGACGACAGCAGCTCTGAGGACGAAAAGAGGTCTTGGAATAGGAGGCAAAGGAGGAATTCTGGCACAGAGAGTACTCACGGTAAAGATGTGAAATAAATGTTGGGGAAATTGGCCACCTATTTCAGTACATTGTTGTTTTTAAATATGCCTAAATTTTTCACGATTCCTATATTGTCCTCACAATCAGAATATGTTTTGTTTTAAATTGAAAGATGCAATTTTTTTCAACTTCCCTTCAAATTGAAACGTAAAATGTAAAACGCAATCAATAATAAAATTGATTTTTAATTACCGAAATTTCCGAAAAACTATGCAAGCAGCGGAAGTCAGATACTTGAAAGTGGTCATATTTTGATATAGTCAGTCATGAGCTGACACCCGATATAATGTTATTTATTTTGAGCCCATAAACGTGGTCGTAGTTGGCCTAGATCACAGTTGACAAATGAAGTCACCCACTTGTTGAATGCGAATTTCGAATACTGACTCATCAAAGAAGAAAAAAAGCATAAATGATCGAAAAATAAATACATTATAGGGCATTATCAAACTCTTAGAGCACACGCAAGTAAATTTCTATAATGTTATTCATTATTATCAGTCTCGTAGTAAGAATGAAATCATTATATTGATATGATTCCATTTTTCTTTTCATAGTTAAGATTCCTCACGTTTGAGAAATAAAAACTTCCTCACATCTCTAAAGTTATAATACAACACACTTTCCTTTGGTCCCAATAAATTTCTATAACTTGTGCGGTAATACTGGTTTTTATATTGACAGGAACGTATTTTAACTAGGACACTACCTAATAGTGAGTATTGATTATTGTAGTGTAGTTCCGCACAGTAAATGTCATTTCTCACACTTTTGAATATTTCACGAACTCTAATTGTTTTAAAATCCATATACCTGACCCTAAGGAACAATACAGCATGAGACTTTGTGAGGTAAACATCTTTGTGTTGAAATAAATCCATCTTTTTAGGTGTTAGTGACCAGGAACCAGTTAATCACTACGGTCCCACACCTGTACCCAATTATAGGTGAGTTATTGTCATTTTCGAAAAGGGATAGCTAATTTTTTCTGCGTTCTAGTCGCCAAACTAGTTCCAGTGAATCACAAATTTCCAAAGACATGGAGCCTTTGAGATGCCAAATGGGCTCTATAACTCTTAGCGAGGTTAAAAGCTGGGAGGATTCTGGAACTGATGACAGAAAACGGGAAACTGGTAAGTTTTTTTTGCCTTCTTCAGTTCTGGTCGTCTGGTAACTGAAAAGACTTGAAAAAAGAAATGCAACGGAGAAAAACCGAGTTGAAAATAAAAATTTGATTCTGTTCGAACTGCACAAATGACAGTTACTTCTTCTAGTGAAATAGTCGTACAATACTACTCGTACTAGCTACCATGATAATGAAACATACTTTTTGATGAAAAACAATTGGAGTCTTATCATATCCTTCCGAGACCCAGATGCTGTTAAATCGTTGTACAACTCCCTTGTGAGATCCTCCCTGGAGTATGCATCTGTCATCTGGAATCCCTTTTATAATAATCACTCCAATAGAATTGAAAATGTTCAGAGGAAATTTGTCCGACACCTGAATTTTCGTTTTAACCATGGAACAATTTTCTCCTCATACAATGCTAATGTTAAACACTACAAAATTGAAAACCTTCAACTGAGGAGAAAATTTTTCGACATTCTTTTCATTTACAAAGTGGTCAACAATCTAATTGATTCTGAATTTTGCACCAATTCTCTCACTTTGAACTGTTCTCCATATGCCGTGAGAAACAGACATCTCTTCACAACTGGACCTAGCTCTACTAACTCTCTACTGAATTCTCCCTTACATAGGTGCATAAATTCTTATAATGTGATAAGAAACAATTCTCTTGTAGATATTTTCACCACGAAAATATTCAGGTTTAAAACCAAACTGAGGCAAATTATTCACTCTTGACTTCTTTTCACATAATCAGGTATTGTAACCTCAATTGTAACGACTCCTCTTCAAATAGCTAACTGAAATTCACCTTTTCCTATTTTTCTGTTCTTTATATTCCACTGTAGTAATCAATCTCACTTATATAAACTTTAACTTTTCATAACCTTCGATTGTTAACTGATGATTAGTATATTTTGTGCTTCTCTGTAATTGGGTCATTCGACCTGTTGAGTAGCCTGTAACCTATAAAAATAAAAAAAATAAAAAATAAAAAATACGTGAAGTTTCATATTTAACTATGGATTTCCATCAAAATTTCATTCATTGATTTCTTTTTCTATTTTCTGTAAAGTTATATTCAGAATATAATGCAACTGGAGTTCGAGTGATTTCTATTGCTTGAAATATATCCAATGTGAATTTGAGTCCTGATTTTTACTTTGATTTTTAGCTAGCTCAGAAGCTTCTAGAAGGGAATCTATGGCTAGTAGGTCGATATCTGACTGGAATGGATCGGAAATTAGAAGCGATGAAAAAGTTTCACCTAGTACTAGTAGTGCAAATAGCAGCATATTATTCAAGGTACTCATATCGAAATTACTGTGGAATGCAGTGGTTAAACGTTTCACCTGTCTGACCAATATAATATATCTTAGGACAAGATTCACAGTTCAGATTAAGAACCCCTGATTTTTAGAATTCAGAAGTTTCGTCTTTAATTTTTTCTTGAAAAACCTTCCCAACATGTTATTTGTTGTTAACAACTCTCAAGTTATCTTCATGTAGAAAAATGTTCGTGAAGATTTCAACATTTACAATGGATTTTCAGTAAATACGGAAAAATACTTATTGATATCTCAAATCACGCTGCAATTTATGAAATGTCAACTAACTATTCGAAAAAAAAATGGTGGGCTGGATCAAAAAATGTCTTCGAGAAAATTACCTATTTATTTAAATAGGTAATAAAAGCAGTCTAGATTTCGCCCTGTAGATTTCTAATCATGGAACTTATGAGGATGATTACTACATATTTTCATTTCTAATGGTTTTGGATACAACAAGAAATGAACAGTTCTAGAATCGGTAGGTACGTACTTTTCAAAATATTGGATTTCTGAAAACGTCAAAAATCCATCTTTTTGACCAGACTGTGAGTTGCTCATGAAACAAATAACACCTTTGGAAGGTTAATCAAGAAAAATAAAGACCAAACTTCTGAATTCGAGAAGTCTGGAGTAAACATACTGAACTTTTTTTATGTATGATAAATTGATATTCATCATATAGGACGTGGAAAGAAATTCTGAATTGGAAGTTCCAAGCTCATCAAAATCAGAGTTTATACAAGTATAATTCTCATTTACATTTCAATTTCCATTTCAATACTGAACATATTGGTAAGTTATAGTTCTATATCATAATACATCATATTAATTCTTAATTCCAGAGGATTTTCATTTTTCATGCTCACCTTTTGGATGTTCAACAGATATAATTCAATGTTCGACGTGGCAAATAGCCAGGAAAGTAGTTGTTTTCTGTTGAATATTCAGAATGATTTTATGTGCATATCTTTATATGAAGGAGAATGCGCAAATTCTCTACTTCAGTAGATTTTGTGCTCAAATTCTTATCGTGTATATTCAATAGATGTAATTCAATGTTCGTCGTGGCATATAGCCAGGAAAGTAGTTGTTTTCTGTTGAATTAACCAATACATAGAGAATGCGAATTGTCATTGTATTTCTTTATATATCTATCTTTTTTTTGTGCGAATTATATCTGAAAAAATTTCTTCTTAAAACTGAACTATGTTTTTTATTCAAGTTAGGAAAGTCAGTGTTGGTTTAATTCACTCTACAATTATTATTTCATTAAAAAATGTTACTGTGTGAGCAAAACATGCCGTATTTTCAAGAGTTTTTCAAAATCTCATCGTTTGTGAAGAATTTTACAAAAAAAAATGCTTAGAGCTCTCTGGACGAGCAAAAACCAGTGGACACCAGCATGGGAATAATCGAGCTGTCGCTCACCTACGACCAGGAAATGAACACCCTCCACTGCACCGTATACAGGGCGAAGAACCTCATCCCGATGGACATGGCCGGTCTGTCAGACCCCTTTTGCAAGCTCAACATCATGCCTGACGCGAATCCGTCCACGCGACTGCGCACCAAAACAGTGCACAAAACCAAAAACCCGGAGTTTAATGAGAATTTGACCTTTTTCGAGATAACCGAGGGGGATATTTTGAAAAAGTCTTTGCATGTGTTGGTCGTCGATGATGACAAGTACGGGCAGGATTATATGGGGGAGATAAGGGTGCCTTTGGCTAAGTTGAAGTACCAGAATACCATATACGTGAGTGCAGGCGTTTTTTGATATACCTTATTCAGACTAACTTTCGATCCTTTTTTGAGGACTTTGGAACATCTGACGTTTTACATCCATAGATTCAACAAAGATCATAACGAGTTTAGACTGTCCATGGTGACAATCGTGCCATTCACTCTTCGAAAAAAAACATCAAAATGTCAGATCAGAACCTAGTTAGTAGGCGAGAGGTATAATATTGTCTGTTTATCAACCCAAACTTTGTCTGCCTCTCAATGACGCTATAGTTTACTGAAAACATCAAGAGTTCATTTGTTTCCATAGAATATTTGTCAAGATTGACAATTTTAGGTTGAAGTTTTCAAAACGTCACCTCAGACAAGCATTATGCAGTATTGCAGTATGATTGGTCAGCTCAAGGACAATAGGCGTGTTGGGACTAATACGACGTCACACCAGTCACACCATTTCAAATGGCGCAGAAAGTGTGTGTTTTGAAATGATCATTTCAATATAATATTTTTATCGTCCTAGTATGAATGAAATAATTTTATATTATAATTACTGGTAGTTTTTTGCATCATAAATCTTTGTCGCATCCTGCGTTTCTTATTTGTTCAAACAAGATAAATCTGCGATGATAAACTTGACAAAAAAGTGGATCTTGACAGGGATTTGAACATTTTCTAGAGTTAGGATAGGAAACAAATGTATAACTTTGTTCAGAAAAGAGATCTCTGGCTTACTGAGCTAGGGCGATTTTTTTCCATTGAACAGAGAATATCATACCTCGCCTACATTCTGATTTAGAAGACAATGGTCAGATGTTCTATGCATCTAGGCATTCTAATTTTTGGTATGTCTTCAATCTAAATTTTTATTTTAGCTGAGCGTACCTCTGGAGAATCTCAGGACAGAGCAAAAAGGTCCTGTTCCTATTCCCGAGCTCAACGATTGGTTCGATGATCTGTGGTCCAGAGGACAGATCTTGTTGTCGCTCTGTTATAACACCAAAAAAAGGGCTCTCTTAGTCACGGTGGCCAAATGCGTCAACTTGCTACCGATGGACAATAACGGACTGTCAGATCCTTTCGTTAAACTGTAAGTTGGTATGGTACATTTCAAAAAACGATCGAGTATTTTTTATCTGAATACCATTTTTATTTCAGTGCGAAATCACCGTGTTAGTATCGTATGATATTATCACTGTAGCAGTAGGTGTTGCGGTTGTTGAGCCACTCCCCAATTATCCTCCTTCACGCTTTCCTCACTCTATAAAAGGAGAAGGGGGTGGCTTAATCACTGCAATACCTTCATTGCAACAGTTATTTACAGGGTGTCCTAGAACAACGTACAATGAATTCTATAGGGTGATCTAGAGACCAAAAAAAAAAAACGGCCGTTCGAAAACAACTTATTCCTATATGAAAATGCATTATTGAGCCGATCGGGGGCGATGAAGAATAATTTCATTTTCAGATTTTCGTGAATATTTCGGAGTCTTTGGAAAATGCTGCTATAAAAGTCATCAATTCAATCAATATATATATAATATATATATATATATGTATACTTCGCATTCTCTGTGATGAAAATTGATGTGATTTTTCTGGAGCACGCGACTGACCACATTTTGATATACCAACTGACGATAAAATCACGTATATAAGTTTTGCCTGAATGTAGTTTTTTCACAATACCTCTTAGTTCTCGAGATATCTAAGGAAATTAATTTTGTTTCTTCTCCATACTTGTTTGAAATGTTGCAAATGTATGGTACGTTGTTCTGAGACACCTTATATAACGAGTGACAACGAATTCTTTACACAAGCTATTGTTTTCATAATTTCAAGTTCAGCAGATTGAAAATTGGCAAGGTTATCAAATATGAAAAAGAATCAATCACACTACTTCCGGTTTTATCTTAGTTTTGAAGTTTTAAAAGGAAAATCAAATATAAATACAGTGTGATCACCTTGAGAACTTCTGCGACCCCAGTGGTTAAACCTTCATTTTTTCGTTGATCTTGATAATTTTTTTTTGTAGTCAATTGAAGCCAGATCCGAACCACAAGAAACACAAGACCTCTATCAAATGGAAAAATCTCAATCCGGAATGGAACGAGGAATTCGCATTCGAAACACGTCCAACCGAACTGTACACCCAAAGTTTATACATCACCGTGTATGATAAAGATTATGGGAAAAGTAACGATTATTTAGGAGGACTGATACTGGGTGGAACAGGTTCAAAAGGTATAAGATCAATCTGAAAAGTCCTCTCAACTGTGTTTCACTAAAAGGCACTGAATCTTGGTTTTTTTTAGGGCTGAGACTGAAACATTGGATGGATATGATAAGGTATCCTGATCACAGACATGAGCAATGGCATAATTTGACTGAAGAAATATTAGAGTGAAAAGAAAATAGTATATTATGACTAATTTTTTCAGAGGAACATAGCAGTATTTTCTTGACTAATTTTGCCTGCTAAGTATTTACGGAGCTTTGTGGACCTGATGAATATGTGGACAAATTTATATGTAAAATGTTGAATAACACTGCTATTTTATGGGGGTGTGTTTTTTTTCCAAGTAGGATTTCCGATATAAAAAGATATATCTCAAACGGTAAAAAAAAGTGGTTGTGAATGCATCGAAGCGAATGTAAATATATATTTTTATCTATCATGAAAAACGTATAATATTGCACGAAACATCATTCTAAACTTACGAACCTATTAAAATATTGCACAAGTATATTTGGAACTAAACTTCGACATAACTAGAACTAAAATATGCAAGGTGTTACGAAATTTGACCGACAAAGCCTCACAGGTGACAGACAGCCTTCGTGATTTCATGATTAAGGCAGGGACAAAAAGACTTCAGGTGCTCAGTTCTTGAAATACAGAGTGTTGAAGTTGAAAAATGAACATATTTTTTTCGCAATAACTCAAGAACCAGAAATCAAATTTCAGCCGTTCTTGAACTTCTTTCAGAGAACATTCGTATCTTCAAACTTCATTACTCTGTATATCAAAAACTAACCACTAGAAGACCTATCTTCCTGGCTAATTTTTTATCAAATTACGAAGGTTTTCATCTCTGAAGCGTTGTTGCTCGCATTTCACAACACTCTGTATTATATTGCACTCGAAATAGTAATAATTATAGAACACTTGTTACCAATTGCAACTAGACAAAAACTATTTACAAATCACCATTGAGTATTGTCTATCGCAACATTTTATCAGCAACGCATTTTCGGGATGAAAATCCGCAACTTTGACCCAAAAAACTGACACCCTATATCTAATGTTTTTATCACGGCAAATATCCCAACTAGTTCTCTATATATATCTCCAAATGAGGCGGCAAATTGAAAAGTCCTTGTTGCTGCCCTCACACTTATTACCCTTTGTGGTAGATGACCTCCTGGACTTATCCGACTGGCTCTGGATAGTGTACAAACCATTTTTGACGCAATACATGTTTGTCTTCTGATTTTACGCACTAGAAGCACTCCTGACGGAATTCGCCCCACTTCTGATTTGAATCGTCCCACTCCTGATTTGGTTCTGAAGGCCGTTCTTACTGGGACACATATTTTCGGATGGTGATCCAGGTTGTTTGGAAGGTGCTCTAGGTGGGTCGTTGTACCTAGACCGAGTGCTCAGTTCGTTGTGAGAGTTTCTGGAAGAGATCAACGTAGATAGCTGGGTTTCGACGGTGGTTTGGCTGAGCTTGATGTCGGTGAAGAGAGCTGCTATTTCAACAGGCTTCTTCACCGATAGGGCTTCCGTACAGGCACTAGAGGATGTGGTGAACCCAAAGAACTGACACCCTATATACACCCCTAACAATTTTTCATCACGGCAAATATCCTAGTGAGTTTTCTATATTACAACTAACGAGCTTAGCCCGCTTATCGTCCATTTCTAAATGAGGCGGCAAATTGAAATAGTCCTTGTGACTACCCTCAAACTTCCTATCGTCTGTGGTAGACGACCTCCTGGACTCATCCGACTGGCTCTGGATAGTGTACAAACCATTTTTGGTGCTATACATGTTCGTCTTTTGATTTTGCGCACTAGAAGCACTCCTGACGGAATTCGTCCCACTTCTGATTTGATTCGTCCCACTTCTGAATTGGTTCTGAAGCCCGTTCTTGTTGGGACACACATTCTTCTGATGGTGGCTGTAATCCAGGTTGTTTGAAGGTGCTCTAGGTGGGTCAGTGTACCTAGACCGAGTGCTCAGTTTGTTGTGAGAGTTTCTGGAAGATATGAACGTAGATAGCTGGGCTATGTCAGTGGTTTGGCTGAGTTTGATGTCGGTGAAGAGAGCTGCTATCTCAGCAGACTTTTTCACCGATAGGGCTTCCGTACAGGCACCAGAGGATATGGTGGACTGCATCTTTGCTAAAAAAATAGTTTGTTCTAATAATAATCAAGTGTGTGGGTTGGTTAGGTTTACTTACATTGATTTTGAGTCCTGGATATCCCATAGGATTTCACAGAAACTGGCCTGCACTGCCCAAAACTGTTCTCGCAAAACGCTTTGGAGAAGGCTGTTCTCCCATGGAAGTTATGGAACCCTTTTATGCTCCCATTTCCAAAGTAAGGTCGATCAGAGTCTCTACCGATCAAGGGCATAGAGTTCTGAGTACCGAATCTATTCCTGGATAGCTTGTCGTAGTAGCTTTCTTGCGGGTTCAGGATATACTCCATGCTTTTGGTGCTCTTGCTGTTCGAGCTCTTTTTGCAAAGTTTCTTGTGCCTGTGATGGTCAACATCTGCGGTGAAGCCTCTCTGTTGCAACTGTTCCGTGATCGTTAGTGGCTTATCGAATGTGGGACAATAACACTTGTTGCTTTCTGCGCAAGAGTCTGTATCGCACTCGCAGTAAGTCACTGAGCTGTCAAGAAGTGAAGGACAAAGATCTTCATGCCTGCACAACGTATTTCGGCACGATTTGTGCCTGGAGTAGTGTTTTTGGCCCAATGAGCAATAGCACTTGTCTGCAGAGGTACACGTGCAAGTGTCTGAGTCGTAGGAGCATTCTGAACAGGACACGTAGCCAGAGGATGAGTTCTTATTGTGGTTCTGGAAGTTCTGTTGGTTATTAAGTCTTGCTTTTGGTTTCTTCAAGGAAAAGAAGTCGCTTTCCTCGCTGGTACTAGTTCTGTCTCTTCCGACACCGTTCTTCTTTCTGTAGCCCTGTTTCTTGATGGCGTTTTGGTCTTTAGGTCTAAATTGCCTGGTATCGTATGACGAGGTGCTTATCGAGCTTTCTGGAGGCTTCGAATCAGTCTGAGGAGGTGTTTCACTATCAGCTTTCGCTGAAGCCTGTTTCAGCTTGTGGTTGAAACGCATCTTGAGGTTTTTCTGGAAGATGTGCTTCAATCTTTTGAACTTCCCGCCTACTAGAAACTTGTGCTTGTGGCGAGGAGATCTTCTGACGAGTTTCTTCTTTTGTCGCCTCATTATGGTTTTCGTCTTCTGGTAGAGTTCGTCCTTGGTCAATGTCATCGAGAGTTTGAGCAAGAACTCTTTGTAGATCGGTTTGAGATCGTTAAAGGACATACCGTCTGGGTCTATTATGACGCTTAGTATGTCGTCTAAGGAATGTAGACCTTCTTGAAGAGATAGTTCGTTGAAGATTTCCTTGAAGCCCAGAGGTGAACCTCCATTGCCTTGTTCGTTGAGTCTAAAAAAGGAAGAGAGTTGAGGTACAAGAAGATAGCAGTGAGTTGTTCTTACCTTGATGCTTTGTTCTTGTATTTGGTGAGTCCTCCAGCGTTCAAAAAGCTTCCGGACCTCGGAATAGTTACTTTCGTCAATATATCACCGGATTTTTCTTTCTTCCTCAATGTTTCATCTTTCTTCCGTACGCTTTGGACTTTTTTCAAGCATTTAGTGCCACCGTCGCTCATCATTTGTTTGATTTCGGCTGTCAGTTGTTTTTGTTCCTTACTCATGCAGTTGTTTAATTTGTCTTCAACAAAAAAATCATTATGATACTATTGATTTTTGTGAAATTTTAACTTGTTCACCACCTACCTGTGAATGTTTTAGGTTTGATTTCCTTGACTTCTTCTTGTGCTATAGTATTTTGAGGCTGGTTTTGATCATCGGTTGTGGATCGAATATGCGAAAAATCAATAGGTTCCTCGTATGGCAAAATGGCGTTCAAGTCTTCACATTTAGGTTCCGGAGCTTCCGGAGCTCGTCTAGCTTTAGAACTTTTCTTTGGTGGTTTGTTGTAAGGGTCCAAGAGAGGCTTGGTGTCTGATATCTAAAAAAATGCGGTAATCAGTAGAAGGAAGGGTAATCATTTGTTGTACTCACGCTTATGGCATCATTTGCACTGATTACAGATGAAGTGGTGGAACTCCTCTTCTTCCTTGGTGGTCTGACTGGTATTGAACCACTTTTATATTCTTTATTGAGACTGGATGCTACAGACATGCAAGTGGTGACTCCATTTCTGTTTTTCGGCCTCCTTTCCTTAGCTTTCATATGCGCTACCAAAGATTTATATAACGTTGCTGCTATCACTATGGCATCTTCGGACGTTTGACAGACGAACCTGTTGAACATTGTCCGGATTAGCTGTGAAAGTAAGCTGATCGATTATTTATAGTATTTACCCATGACATTCTAACTGCTTGTGTACTCCAATTTTTCTCATTACGACAGCAAACAGGGGAGAATGTGCTTCGGTGGTGATGAATTTTTTTTCGTTCTCGTCCAAGGTGCGAAAAAGCGTTTGTTTGTCCATGTTATCGGGATCAGTGATCAGAGGTAGGAAAGCGTAAGTGAATTTCGGACTGCCGTTTATTACGAATTTCACCGCACTCCATACTGCTATGGTCGGAAAAGAATTCAGCTGTTCCAAGTCACCTGGAACCCACAAAATTATAATTATAGTACTGGTAGATTGAAAGTGTATAAAAAAAACTTAACCCAAAAAATAATTATATTACGGTTACTTTGTTGCCATCTTCTGTAGATCCATTTAATTTTTTTTTGAAATAACAATGCAGACAAATAGTTTCGGAAGAAAAGGTACCAATCAAAAGTACTCGGTATCTAATAAATACAACTACATTTTCTGTCCAACACGGAACGACGAAGATACAGGGTGTTGAGAAATTCGACCGACAACGCTTGACAGGTGATAGTCCTCGTGATTTCATAATCACTGAGATAGTGATAGTGTTCAGTTCTCGAGATACAGGGCGTCAAAGTTAAGAAATAATAATAGTTGTTTCGCAATATCTCAAGAAAAATTGAATATAATGTATTCAACTTCTGTATATGGTTCCATCTTTGAATGGGTCATTTTTTGAACAGGAAGCCATTCCGGACATTTCATCCAGTGGTGCCCTACAGAGGGTTGCGGCAACTTTTCCTCCCATATTTTCTACGCCACTGATTAAATTTCAATCATTCCAATTCCACGAATTCATCGTTCAATATTGTTCAAAAAATTCATCACCTTCAGCTGAGCTGAAATGAACAGTTTTCGAGATTTTCGATCCAAAATAGAAGATTGCATAGTAATGTTTCATCATTTTCAGTAGTAGAAAATTGCAAAAATATTTTTCTGGTGTTGAGTAGATAAGATACTATTCAGATATCATTCGGTAGCTGAACACAAATAAAGAGACAACGAAAAATTATTATGCAATCTTCTGTTTTTGGTTAAATATCTCGACAACTGTTCATCTTAGCTCAGTTGAAGGTGAAGTATTTTTTCAACATATTCGAATAATCAATTCGACACATTGGAAATAATCGAAATTTCATCAGTGGTGTAGAAAATATGGAAAGACAAGTATTATCACAATCCTCTGTAGCGCACCTCTGGATAAAATTCTCGGAATATCTCTCTGGTCAAAAAATCAACCATTGAAAGATGAAACCATATACCGAATTTAAATGCATTATACAAAATTTTTCTTGAGGTATTGCGAAAAAACCATTTAAATTTCTCAACTTCAATGCCCTGTATCTCGAGAACTGAACACTTGAAGACCTTATGTCCGTATCTCAGTGATTATGAAATCACGAGGGCTATCACCTGTCAAGCGTTCTCGGTCGAATTTCACAACACCCTGTATAATTGATTCAATTAGAATTCTGAAATTCTTATCATGAGCATATTCGCACTATATCAAACTCTTCTCTGTCTTTGGTTTTGAACCTCCAGTCCTTTATGCTGAACTTTTATTCCTTGGAACTGAAGTTCCTGTTTTTGGCATTAACCTTTTCACGCAGACGCACTGTCTTCCCATATTCGGTTGGACCATTTGATCGAAAATCAGGAACAACAATGTGTTTTCTATATTTAGTACTCATTTTTCAGTTCTTGATCCTTATTGAAATTTCTAGTTTCTCATTGTATTATCTTGAACTATCTAATCCAAACGAAAAAATACTTTCATAATTTTGCCGTTCTTTGATCCTCTGGTATTCATCGAGCTTTCAGTTAAACTTTTCTTTCTTGGTAGTCCAACCTTATTGTCTTGAAACTCACCTTGTCCTTGATACTAACTACCAGTTAACTTTCATGTATTCGATCCTAAACTGATACTAACCTTTTTGTCCTTGGTACTGAACCTTCAGTCCACCGCTAGAAATCTCCAGCCTCCCTGTCAGCGTCTTCTTTTGTCTCATGGCCTTCTTGTAGCCGAAATACAGGTGCCTCAGGGGACCTTGTAGCCCCGTCAAACTCGTCACTTTCTCTTGAAGAGGCACCGAGCCTAAATAGTCGACTGAGAAGGAGTGGACACCAATATCGTCCAATGGGAAGCCGTTGTCTTGGGCGACGTCGTTGAACATTTTTTCGATGTTAGCTTGGACGATGTTCTTGGTGGTCGTGGTGGTGTTGGAGTCGGATTCGAACATGGCGTCGATTTTTTGCTTGTAGATTGAGTGGACGCTGCTTGTGTCGTCATTGGTTGGGTGGGGTTGGTTGATGAGACGGAAACCTTTGAGAACGAGTGATTTTTTCAAATTCTTATATTCAAGAGCGATTTGATTTTTACAAAATATGTTCATTGGTTCTAGCAAAATAATTCACATGAATGATATTCAAGAATTTTCAGGAGAGTAGGGTTTAAAAGCTCTCCAGGTCAGAGCTAGATACTTAAAGCTTGCAAATAACTTTGAAAATATTTTCATTTTGAACATTCCGAATATTGTGCAGAACTTACCGTGCGAATTTTGACTGGCTCTGCTCCCGTTTCTGGATACGCGCGTTTTGGAATTCCTAGATGGCGCTGCTCCATGGTCTCTGATCAGAAGGCCGTTTGGCAACGCAGGTGGTAGGGGTATTTTGATCTTGTCCATGTTACACATGACCTCTTTCGGTAGATTGGGAGTCATGAGTCATTTGTGCTTGTTATTCATTTAGAACGTGTTGATCAGTAGTAGGTAGTCGTAGTATGAGTATAGTAGTAGACAAGGACCTGCAATATTCAAATTAATTTGTATTGATTTGAATCAATTTTGGAGATTTTTTTTCAAAGGTATTGTTGGTTTTTCTAGGCCCTATATTTTCTTAATGAGTGAATAGATTCGCACAAACTAAGCAGTTTGAAGGGGATCAAAAGCCCTTTTTGTTCGTAACCTCCCCACTTTGGAGGTTGAGGGTTTTGCCATACTTTCTGCGTCAAAATTTGTCCTCTCGATTGTCCCTCTGATGACAAACAAACAATCGACTTGTTTCTGGATTTTGTCGAAACTTGATAATGGCTATTTATGTATCGAGGTCGTGAAAATGGCTTTTATGGGCCATAGCATTTAAGTAAGGTCGCCAGGGTCTATAAAAGCAACCGGGCGGTAAAGTGATACATTATACGCTGGGCGGTAAATTAGTCCGCGGGCTGTAAAGTTCCATTTTACACCCGTAAAAGCAGGCAGTAAAGTGATACTTTACGCCCGGTCGTGCATAAAATCCATTATTTTGCTGATGGATTCTTGAAAAAACTACCAAAATCTACAGACATAGGTACGTTTGTTTTGACTCAACCAACAAACCCTCGAAACAAGTTTTGATGCTGCAATTCGACTATGTTCAACAGTAATATATTGACTGGTTATTGGTCAATAAGTAATATTGGCAACATTCGGGTCAAGATTTAATTGACGCCAGATACATATTATGTATATTTGAAAGATTTCTTGTGTTTTGGTAACGTTAAGATAATGCATTCGAATTTCGAAGTATTTCGTGTTTCGTTGAAAATGCATGAAACAAGATAACGAAGAAAGTGGCAGAACGTCCACGTAACTGGACGCATTATGAATAGTTTCTCTGCAATTTTCTCTTAATTTATTGATACGATCACGATATTATTATAACCGTGTAGATGAATATTGTGATTAAAAATGCAGGAAACGCATTGGCAACATTTTATAACGATAGTGTTGGAAATTGAAGAAGACATTCCATTGGAAAAAATATCTATACCCATATCTGATACAGGGTGTAAATTGGTAAACAAAATGTTCGAATCTTCTTGAAATTGTTGAGTAGTTTATTCAGATTTCTCAATATTTGACAATACAAAAAATCCAGAGAGATATTAAAATTCTAATTACTTTCTATTGGGAGAAGTTCTAAGATCACTCGATATCGCCTACTTTGTAAATATGACGACACGTCGGAGAATCTTGCTAAATTTCAAAAATTTCAAACCAATTTCACTGCTGGCATCAACCTACTGACCACATTGTTTTTGCAAAATATACCCGTCGAATAACACAAATCTCAATTTATAATAACGTGTTGGGAGTGTTTCGAAAGATTTTAGTGCCTTTAAAAGTTGGCTAAACTTTATTAGTCCCGAAATACATTTTGAAATCATACATCATTCGCTAATATGATAATCCTACGTTTCGATCTGAAATTCAATTGTTTATATCGAGAGTTAGTCTGACGAAATGAACGCAATTATATCCAAAGTTAATTTCAATTATTTCATATTTCAAAAACATTGATTTCGCAATAAAAATCTTTTCTGTACCTATACACTAATAATTTCAGCAATATCATTGGCAACAGGTGCCGACATTTAAGTAAGGTTGGTGACTTTAAGATGCTTTAAGGAAGGTCATTGAAAATAACGGTGTGATCCAGTACGAGTTCGCGGATTGCAGAATTATTTTTTGAATTCCGCGATCGAACGTTGCATCAAGAAGGGCCAATGTACAAGGTGACATAAAATTCACCTAATAAAAAAAATTCGAATGGTTTTCGCTAAGTATTACCACGTGAATATATCACACGCTGCATTAGGTGTATTCTTATAGTGCTATTCGAATCTAGATCAAATTTACAGATACATTTCAGATATTTAATCATTTCCTGTAATTAGTTGGATTAACATGAACTTCTCAAAAAATTGGCAATTAGAGATGACACAGAATATACATTTGTTTACTATTTGTCTTTGTTATTGAACAGAAAATAATTGCAAATTCCACTTTATTTATTCTACGCTTCTAATGGAAAAGTTTTGATGAACAGGGTGTCCCATCATTGGCTCGCAATACCTTGGCACTCTTGGAAGAAAATTCCACGTCTGAAAATGGAAAATGTGGGTCTAAAAATGTGAGCTACTGACTCCTGAAGAACTAAAATCATTAATAGTATGGAAATATGTTATTGTTAACGTTAAAAGAAGTTGATTAATATTTTGATGACTCGATCGCTTCCATGCGAATATTCGTTCTTGTTAATTCTGATAATATAATTCACTTATTCGAATCATTAGCGAATCAAACATATTTTTCCGTGAATGAATAATGTCATGTAAATTTTCAAATCGATTTTACTCCAAAACTGGTAGATTTCTTTTCATCATAGTCTTGCAGGAGCACCTTTTTTGATGTATCATTCTCACCATTTTCAATTTCTATAGTGAAAATTCACAAATAATTACTAAGACAAAAATCAGTCAATCATGTTTGATACGCTTCTGGAGAAAACATATTTGAATTCAGGATGAGAAGTAGGGTAAGAAAACAAGATTCAATAATTTTATCTCAAACTGTTTCGTGAATAAAAATAAGGAATCACCTTCAGGGTATAGCTTTTATAGAAGACCAAAGCCTAGAGCTCACTCTGGAGTCATTTTTTGACTATTGTGAATACAAGTTTTCCCTCTTATTGCTGGTTGAGATATCTACTTGCAGAAATATTGCACGCTAATTATGACACCCTTTATGTCTTGTGAGTTCTGCCAGGAAAGTAATAGAAAGCTATTTTCAACTCCTCCTCAAACTCCTGATAAACTCGGGACTGAAACTTCATGATGAAAGGTGCGGAAAGATATTTCTTCCATGAAAATTGTAGGTAGATGGTTGTAAACATTGATGAGGATCATGGAAAACAAAAAACTTCCAGATTATTTTCGTTGGTGTCCCTTGCCCACGGTGAAATGTCAATGCATTCGGCATTGTTGTGACATTCTAGGAATTGTTCTTTGTTATTATTCAAACTTCTTAAAAATAAAATCTAGCGTTCCACGTAACTATTTTCACATAAACATCGACGTCTCAACAAGACATTTGAGATTCCAAGAAGTCCCCTGAAATCGTTGCAGTAATTGGGATCATGTAAGAAAATCAATCGAAATAACGGAAATGACCTTTATGGCTGATTTAATGGGTCAGCTTCCCTGGTAAATGTGACTTGAGGCGACCAGCAACGGTTATCTAACTGTTCAATACTTTGCATCAGAATACCTACCTACCTACCTACACCACATGTTATAGGCATTTTTCCGTCGTACCCTGAGAACAAAAAAATATGCCTACGAAATTGGTATTGAGACATTCTAAACCTATAGCCAAATTCATATTATGATGATTATTGATTTGTGTAAAGTAGGTACTGAATACATTCATGTTTTGCCAAACCATCCATTTCTGAAGAATCTCCTGAATCAGGTCGCTTATCAATCTTAATTTTCGACAATCACACGGGAAAATTGAATATACAGGGTTATCCACGTTTGAGTAATAACGTCCACAACAATTTTTTCAAATGGAACACCCTATCTATTATTTTTGGAATCTCCATGGAAAGCTGCATTCAAAAATATATCACTTACAGTGTGACCCACTTCTAATGGAAACACCCCTGTATCTTAAGTGATCGTTGGGTAAGTATCATGAAATTTGCTGGAGCGAGAGATATACCAAAAATGCACTCTATGACCAAGTGGGGTCATCTCCAGTGATATACACTGCTCGCCAACAGCCATGGAACCACCCCAATTTCCGGAAAATGATAGGAGTCAAAATAGGTCGAAAATCACTTCAGATTCGGAATCAGGACACCCAATTCACTAACTATTCATATTTTTCCTGGAAAATTTTCAGTTCTGAGAAATTGAATTTTGTCGCACTTTTTACGGAAGTACCCCCATATCATACGTAATTGACTTAATCTTTGGAATTTCCCTTCCTCCTGCAAATTTCAGTACCGTACCTCAATAATTACGTGAGATACGGGGGTGCCTGCATGAGAAGTGAGACAAAATTCAATTTTTCTGAACTGAACATTTTCTAGGAAAACTATGAATAGTTAGTGAATTGGGCGTCCTGATTCCGAATCCGAAGTGATTTTCAACCTATTTTGACTCCTAATATCATTTTCCGGAAATTGGGGTGGCTTCTTATTACTCTTCTAATTAACGAGAAATTTCACAAAAATTGAACGAAATACGAGAAAAAAATCAAGCACGCCACTTAAAAACAATTTAAATGATTGAACTTCGCGTGCTTGTGCCTACCGCATGGAAATTTGAACAGAGGTGACTTCAGCTACAGTGTAGAACTTTGGGAGGAAAGAGGGGTCTAACCTCGAATTTCATTTTGATCCCTAATTTTTTTTATTAATGCCATTCGATAGTACACGTCGAGCTTTCTTAGTGTTTGAAATATTTGCACTTATTTCAATGCCACCCTGTATAAAATCAATGTCAAGTGTTATTTCCATTTGAGGCTTTTTTCAAATTATACCAATACATTCAGGATGATTCGTGTAGGAGAATGCCGTTATTATATGACAACTTTATTCACGAGAGCGATTGGATTTAACGGACGCACTGTATACAAACCCTATTTGTGATTTGTGATATATTTCTGAATGAAGCTTTCCATGGAGATTCCAGAAACTTAATATATAGGGTGTTCTAATTAGAAATATTGTCGCGGACGTCATAACTCAATCGTGGATCACCCTATATTATTGTGGCAAATTGATATTAAAAATCGTTTCCGGTGGTTCCTCAGAGATGGATAGTTTGTGACTGAACATGAATTATTTCAGTACTTTACGAAAGCAGTGTATTTAGAAAAAAGAATGAATCAAA